TTAATTTATTTATTTATTTTTTTTTTTTTTACATTGACTGACATTGTATTTAGTATTTTAGTTTAGTATTTTGACAATATACGTTTTGACATATTGACATTGTATTTAGCATTTAAACATTATAAGAAATATTTTAACACTTTGATGGAAATAACACTGATACTTCTATTTACTGTCATGTACCGAGCAAAATCTTAGATGTGTGATTCAATCAATTTACTTGGCATTATTGTAATTACTAGTTTTTTATAAATTTATTTTATAAAGCATGATTAACATAATATTTCTACACCAGCAATGGTAGTGTATGTGAAACAATATTTAATGTAAAACCTCAATGTACCATATACTTGGAAATAAATGACATTCTATTCAAAAAAAAAAAAAAAAAAAAAAAGAAGCTTGGGTCTCTTACACGCGTTAAGTCCCTCGGTTTTCCACTTAGTCAAATATTTCAATTTCCACACCAAAATCATCATATCCCATTCAATAGAAAAAATCCGGAAAGCTATTGGTGCTTTTTGCTCACCACTGGCACGTAATATTATGTAAATGAATTTCGATACGCCCCGTCTTCCTGATTTTTACTGCCATTAAAAACCTATTTGCTTTTCGATAAACGGCATAATTTCCAACTCTTATCTATTGAAGCAACTCTTATCACTTATAGATACATTTTAATATTATTTCTTACGTGTCATGACTACATGACAGTAACTGTACTAGACATTATCACTATTCCTGTTAATTACTTTCCCGCTGGTATCATAAGAGCCAACTAAGGGATTGCACATGGATCGTGCTGCAGTATTCTCTGTTCAAGCTGCGGTCTCTAACCTACGTGACAAACTTGGATTTTATGGTAAATTTCTTTTACGCAAAAGAGACAGGCAGAGAGTCCAGCAGCTGATTATAGACGGACTGTTGATGGGTTACATGTTACGAGTTTTTGTAGTGGTTAAGCATTCTTTATCCGTTTTAAGTGTGTGTACTGTTGTTATAATTATTGATCGAAGCAGCTATCATTGGAATACATTTCTTTTCGTGTTGATAGTCTTAATAGGAAATTCGTCAATAATATCGTAGGTACGACTAATAAATAGATCTATAATGAACTTTCTTCCTTCCTTGGGCGTTTTATTATTTATGAAGCAGAGATTCATATGTTACTCTAAAATTAAATAATCGTTTGTGGCACAAGTGGGACTATTATCTACTGATGTCACAGTGACTACACGTTGAAGAATTTTATATGAGATCATTTTAAAATGTTCTACGTATAACTTTCGATCAGGAGCGCTGGGATTTAGACAATGTCGTCCGGTATCTAGGTTCTTATTGAATGACCGACAATCCCTCTAATAAGACAACGGGCTAGTGCTGAAAATCAGAGCCGCGACTCGAGCAATCGCGCTCGGGTCACGGCATTTTAGCTGAACACTGGCCTTTTTGCACTGTGTACGTTGTTATGTTTTTTTTTAATTATTATCTTGTTTTTTTTTTTGTTTAATTTATCTAACGGTGTAAATAAACTGTTTTTCTTTCAAGAATGATTTTTGACAGAAAGAAACTCCATAAATAGGTACAACTAATATGTCAAATATCAATCTTGATAGTTACTACCCCTAAGCAAACTAGGAAAGTGCCAGGGCGCCAGGTTACAGAGGGGCGCCGCAAGGCACACGTGCCCAAAAGCACATGGAGCGGTGAAAGCGCAGAAAAAAAAATAGGGGCGCCAGTAATGTTCTGCCTAGGGCGCTATCTAGGTTCAATCTGCATCTGATCTTGTTACTTTAACAGTCACAATATTTTGTTACTTAAAAAATAATTACTATAAAACGTTAGAGAGGTCGAATATGCGCCTATTGAGCGAATACTCACAGGTACAATTTTACCCCAAGGCAAATTTCTTTTATGTACATGAAACTTAAACAAACACTTTGTTTCACTGTACATTTTATATAAAAAAATAAATTAATCAGCATTAAAACTATTTCTTTGCTACTTAAAGAGCATTAAAACTATTTCTTGCATAATATAATTATGTGACTACTGACTTACACACACCTGACACTTAATAAAAGGGCAATGACATTACAGTGTGTGAAGTTATGTCATATGCCATTACTACACACATACCAAAACAAAACAGAGTATAAACATCAATGATATGAAATACTTGTGAAGTAATAAAATAACTTGTATGTTTCAATTCCTAAACAAATGCTACATATTATTAATAAGAAAAAAATTATACTAAGTCATTCGTAACTTTTATTTGTTTTATCTAGAAATTATTTTTTTAATAATTGGTTATAAATTGAATGGAATTTATTTAATGGGATGGTTAGTAGTATGAAGCTGAACCGATGAACTTGTTGTAAATATGTCAGTTACTGTAATTAGTTTTCTACCGTTGTGACTGTTTAGAAATAAATAAATAGGTAAACAGATATGTAGATGCTTTCAACTCAATAGTCAAATAGAACCATTTTGGAAATGTTTTAAACTATTGAACTTTACTAATGCCTAAGGATGACAAAACATAGAATGCAGATTTTGTAAACTAATAATTAAAAAAAGAAATAATAAATTGTAATTGTATTTCAAGAAGAATATAAGTTTTTCTACCCTTTATACAAGTTGATAAGCAGTAGGCACTCATTTGGTAGTCATTAATAATCTTCTTGAATAGCTTACTTGTATAATAATTACCTTCGTTCACATAATAATGTGATTTGTTAATGTTCACAAACCTATTTGCAAATATAATTAAATCATATGTATACCTACTATGACACTCAAAATTCTATTCTATGAAATAAAAAAGAAATTAAGTGTGTGCACAACAAGTTTTATAAAACCTGTTTAGTATTTATTTAATTATTATGAAACATTATAGAAATTTGAACATTTTCAAATGTGTATTTTATCCAATTTTCAACAGCTGTGCAGTTGATATGTTTTTATTGTAAGAAATGGAACAATAGATAATAAAATAAATTAATATCTAACCATTTTTCCGCAAGAGCCCTCTTGAATTATCACTTTGCATCTTACTAGACACAATTCACCTGGAACTTCTAACACAACCGAAATATTAAAGCGCGAATACGAAACTGGTTTTAAAACGTCCACTTCCCATACAGCTAAAAATATCGCACATCTAAATATTTACTCCAGTTGACACACCAAACAAACCTTGAAATCAATTTGAGAAAAATGATATTGTAATATCGAATAGATGAAATAACGTGCAGCGATGCGAATTAATGCATTATACTGTGAACGAATACGTCGAATGGGTGGACCTTCGCACGGTAACACATTTAGTAAATAAATAACGTAATAAACGTATTCACTGTATGAATAGAACAAGCCATTAAAATGTCTTAACAATTGGACAGTAAATTCTATACGATAAAATTAAATAATATTTTAGAACATACCTGTAAATTAATTTACGAAGCTAACTTTTCTACCGTATTGTAGCAGTCATGTTCCAGCTGTTTCAAATAAATTAAATATATGCTTCATTTAAAATTTGTGAGAATTATATTATTTATTTTCGAAATAATAAATTAAAATAAAAAAAATATTTAACAATCGCACACCGCATCAAATGCTTATCACTATGTACCACTTAAAAACGCTAACGCTCTGTTCCACCAGTGTATATAGATTAAATCGTTGTCAATGTCAGTATGACATATTTATGACAGCAGGACAAAACAGTAGGTTTATACGAGATATTTGCTGTGCGAGAAGGAGAAGCAACATTGGTGCTCTCCACTTAGTTTTTCGTGTAACAGGTCAGAGAACGGGGGCTACCGTTTTTTTGCTCACCCGATAGTCCAAATGGATTATTGTACAAAATTATTGCAGCTGGCAAATATTGAACGTTCACTGGTGTAACACTAGCTAATACCCTATAGGACGACGAACGCGAGAGTTTCGCACTAGCGCCATCTGGTGAGCAAAAATATTGTAAGCCCCATAAATTGAACGCTTTTCCAGGTATGATAACAGCTTTCAAAAAACAAATATTAGAAATGTTTTATAAGCATACAACAAGACAATGAACAACTATACAACTGTGATTTTTCTGTTGGTACCTTGAATACTTGCTGTATGTTGCTGTGCCCGACAGGGTCCATAATTGTTACTACCTAATTGTATTTTCTAACCACCTGTAAATGTAATTGTGGATGCAATAAATACTTGATTACTTGAAACTAAGCTTTAAACCGAACCCCGGAATCGTAAATAAAATCCAGAATTGTATCGCCTTTGGTATCGCATAAGCTCTGTTTGTTTGAACGTTGAACGAAAAAAAGTCACCCGTCAGAAAGGCCCGATTTGATTTTTTTCTATTGAATAAACCATTTATCGAGATAGGCTATTTAACATGTCGCTAAGATCAATAGGAGCCGGACAGCGCGGGTAAAACCGAGTTGAGCCGCTTCGAGTGCGCAAGAAGCCGGAGATCTATATTCCGTTCAGAAACAAGAATCACAGGTTTGTATTATTTTGCATTAAATTTCTATTTTGACATAAAAAGTTATTATAATTTAGCATCGATATTTAGTTTTACGTAATAAATTTGTATAAAATGTCTTTTTTTATTTTTAAGCAACAAAACCTACATAACATAAAACAATGAAGTTCTAGTACTTTCCACACATTTCCGAATGGAAAGAAAACATTGACATTTTTCTACGCCGTACGTTCCGTATGCACAAAAGAATTTGGACAAAGTTTTAGCATTAAAAATACGAAACGAAATCGCGCAAATCTAATAAGTCTTGATAAAGTTGAAACAGCAAATATTGGATATGCTACATTTGTGATTATTAAGTATACTGAACTGGACTAAGAAAACAGCTGTCGAATAATTTTTGTTTGTTGCGCAATAAATAAAATATCAACATTAACCAGCAAAAATAACCGAACATACAGTTTCCCATCGTCATCTCAAAAATCATCAGGTTCAACTCACAATGTCGCAAAACAGTTTCATGGACAAATTACGAATATTTTTTGGCATAAAACAGGATCCGCCTAGAAATGATTTTAGAAACCCAATTTGGAGTTCCGACGACGAAGATGACGGTGATGAACTATACACCAGACACGAAATGAAAGAGTTCAATGATGCTATGGACATTCACCGAGAGTTCTCTAGACAGATGCATGAAATATTCCAAACCTTCGGCGCTATGTTTGGTGACATTAGGACCTTCTCTAACGAAAATCCCTTCGATTCTTTCACGACCATCAACCCTCTCCCGCCGGAGCAAGGTGAAGGTGGACAAGAACATGTCCCTGAAGGTAACATACGGGACTATTATCTGAAGCCTGGCTACCACAAGCGCCCGCAAGAGCAGTTGAAAGAAGACATAGATTTAGATGGAAAAGTATCATCAAATGAAATATCTGGATTGCTCAAATCAAAGAAAGACAAACCAATCGTTCCCGTCACACCATTCAATGGAGATTTAGTACCAGGTCGGTCATTCTGTCAGACCATCATCACTACTAGTGTAACTAAGCCAGATGGATCGGTTGAGACCAGGCGGATAGTGAAACGAGGCAATGAAGTTGTTGAAGAGACAGTCACATCCACTTCCACAGGAACAGACACACGACTGTCACCTATCAACCCAGGTTTGGATAACTTGTCAACTCCTGGTCATATTTACAACAATGTTCTATCTGAACTTTCTTCACTATTTAGACATTTTTACTAAGATTTAATCCAATTTTTGTAGCTGTGTATCTAGACCATTTCATGTATTAGTTTAAGATAACAATCTGTATTTTCCCTTTCATGCAGAGGAATAATTTTTGAAATTGATAACAACTTCATAATATTTGCATGTATCTTTGCAAAATATAGATGTTTAATTATAGATAAAAATTATTCCATATACTCTTGATGTAAAGTATCCACAAAATTAAATTAAGGCTCAATTATTACTTGTGGACTTGAATCTATAGCACATAAATTAATTCCCGTAGGAAGTAGTCAGTAGTGTAGGAGCCTTTCAAATATTATAAATATAGATCAAACAATTGTCAGCTTATTTATAAATTATATCTTAATACATAAATACCTACATCATAAAATCTTGGGTTTTTTTTTCATCACTGTTTTACCAAACCAACTTTTAATATAACACCTGTGATGCAATTCTTTAATTCAATGTTGCAAAGTAAAAAAATGGAAATAACAGAAATAAAACAATTATATAATAATCTTCCCAAATTATTTATTAAATAAATACTATTGTTTATAATAATAGAGAGCTTACCTAGATAATGCAAAAGTTGAGTGACAAAGTTACAAAAATGCATCCAAAAATATTAATGTACATACATCGATAGAACTCAGTTAATACCTATTTAATAAATTAAATTGAAACAGGTACCTACCAACCTATTATCATCATTTTGACACATTTCAGACACTTAAATTGTTATGGATATTCAGATTTGTAGGATTTATCTACAAACATTAATTGCGCAAGTCTAGGTATAAAAACAAACAAAGTAGGTACTTATTTGTGTGATTTTTTTTTAAACCTCGCGCTGTAACTTATAAGTAGGTCATATGTGAAATAAATACTGAGTCCATCACTATTGTCATAACTTTGTCGCGTCAGTTTTACATGTGATTGTACATTGCCATTCAGTTGCAGTAACAAGCATCAACCGTGTTGCTCTTAATCCACGTCAGATATCGATTGACCCTTGAATATACGCCATATTTGTCGGGCCTTGCGCAACCCTCTCCCCAAGACACCACACCTAAAATCACAATAACAATTTAAGTTAGATCTTGTGAGCGAAATGCTAATTTGCGACTGCTATTTTAGTTAAGTTGTCTAAGTTTCTAATAAATAAATCCATATAGTTTTGTGTTTTTAAACCAATCATTTTAAATAGGACAGAGATAGCTTTGCATCAAGGTTCATTTGCGAAATATTGTATGTTACCTCTATGCCTCACTTTTTTCCAAATTCTCGTCAAAATCAATGACTGCATAATGCATATTAAAGTTTTAAAATAACAATATGCAACACTACTAACCGACTTCCTGGTATTTCTCAGTTGTCTGGTTGAAGACATGTAGGGGACCTCCGGAGTCACCCTGACAGGCGTCACGTCCACCATCAGGCTCACCAGCACACATCATGTTGTCTGTAATCCGCCTGCCGTATGATCGGTCTTTGCACTCCGCATTCGATACGATTGGCACCTTTACCTGGGCATAGTAAAGTGTGGTGGATAGTAAAAGTCTAATCTCATGCTTATGCTTGTAGTATTCCAGAGAACAGTCATTTCTTAGTATCTTTGGATTTATGGATTATTCTCTACCAATTGAATTAATCTGATGCAAAGTAAAAACACATGCAATATCGTATCATTATGATGCTAAACAAGCTTACAATTGCATCAGTCTCCGTCATTGTTCTTATCTTAGACTTATATCGCAAAACACTGAGTCGCGATTTGATAATGATGATCGTAAAGATGAAAAACAAACCTCTTGCAACGTATTGGAGACGGATCCTCCTTCGTCCGTGACACCCCAGCCTATGACCACAGCACACTCGCGTGTGAATGACAGTCCCGGTGTGGGCAAGCAGACAGGTCGCACTCTGACGTCATCAGCCGGGTCTGGCGTTGCTGTTGTTTCTTCAGTGGCCGGTGTAGTTCCGTCTTCATCTCTACGAATTCGCTTTACCGCAGTGCTCAAGTCCAACTGTCAAAGAAACAAGTGAAATTAGAGGCTGACCCCTTTGTGGAAAATTATCTTATCGCTATAGACAAAATTGCTAAAATTGGTAATAAAACTTTTGAAAACTCTTAACTAAAAGATTGGGTACGAAGTTATAAGGCGCTTAATTGCCTCTGAAATATATTCACCGAAACAGCGCAAGTAAAAGAATTCGTTAGCGATGAAGAATTCCATCTCGTGAAAGTGGTGATTTATCACGCAATTCGACTTCAAAACAAACATTACATGTTGTTGGCGAGTTTGCATTAGCGGAACGGATTGATGGAGACATAGATTTAACTATAGCGTGACTGCGTGACGATCGGATTAATACATGTTTGGCTTAATTAATAGGTACTTAAGTAGGAGTTACCTACATGCTCTAGCGAGTACCTTATACTATTATCCGATTTATGTTTCGTTAAGTCTTCTTTTGCCTAATTTTGGCGTTATACCTAATATGTTGTATCTTAATATAACTTCGTCCAATTTTTCCAAAACACTTATTGGTTCTTGGTGATCCTGCGTTCATGCTACGACCCCATACCGACAACAAAAAGTCGTACCTACCTACATCTACTGAAGATCTATCAAAATAAAATTAAATGTCCACCAAGGCTTTACATTAAAAGATATAAGTTACCCTTTCATCAAGCCTCATAAGTGCGATGTCGTTGTCGTACGTGCCAGGGTTGTACCGCTGATGTCTGATGACGGCCGCTACCTTCCGGTCGATAGTCTTCGTCTCGTTAGGGTTGGACGTGTCGTGTTCCAACAACCGAATAGTAATACGTTCCTTGCGGTACCTGCGGAGTTATTGAAGTTTTCTTAGGCGGTTTTCTCGTGTAAAGTTTATTGTAGATAGAGTAATTTTTGTCAAGTCAAGTAATTATTTTTGTATTTGTCTTATATCATAGTATCTCTGTAGTATATCATACTATGTCAGGCCTACATTGTTTAATAACAGACGTTTGTGATAACCTGAATTAATTCATAAACACTTATCGAATATCAAACGTTTTCAAAAAGGAATTCGCACTTGAAGGCCCACAGTCGTAACGGTCCTGATTTACATCCCAATGGGTAGGTACCCATTGTAATCAGATCATCGTAAGAATGTGCACCTGTTTAATATTAACATAATCATTTAGATGCAGTTCACTAGAATGCAGGTGGCAGGAGGCCAATACTGCATGCAACATAATCTTTTCTACTATTTTTAGGTACCTTAAGCTTTGTTCCTAGGGACATGTTGGCATCAAATACTGAAACGGTATTGTTGATCTCTGTATTTATTTACCTACATGGTAAATTAGAATGTAACAATAGGTACACAAGTAAGTACCTAGCTTAGGTATCGCTTGCCGTCATCTATTCTATAGGATAATAACTGGGTGCTACTTTCTAGACTACACTTTAGGTACTTTCCGTTCACATAAAAGTCTTGCAATAATGATAATGGAAGTTCAAGATATATTTGGGGCTACTAATACTGCTGTATCGATTAATAGAAAACTTAATGACCGATCTAAATGTCTGGTTAAGTAAGTTAAATACCCTGCAGTATTTAAACCTTATAGCTAAAATCACCGTACCCCGTGCAATGCGCTGCTGTGAGGACATAAAGGTCGTTGATAAGGGATCCACCACAGAAAAACCTTCCGTTGTACATTAACATGGCCATCCAGGGATATTCACGCTCTTTTGTCTCGTACCCACCAACTATACGACGCTTAGTCCGCGCTACACCACATTCTGAAAAATATAAATAAGTAGGTTTAGTCAAAAAGTCTGCCATGTTGTAAATTCCATAAAAATATAGTAATTATGCTATCATTCGTAAATTAAACTCTAAATAGACCCACGAGGAATCATAGGTATGTGCCGTTTGTGCCGTAACACGCGTTGCATAGTGAAGGCTCCAGAGCTTGGTCTATTGGAAAGGTCTAGTGACGGTGCTGATAGCGGCCAGCGGCCACCGAGGTGGTTTTGGTGAGGTAAAAATCTTACACTTCCTAGTCTTTTCTCCCTAAAAAGCTAGGCACCTAATATAGGTTTACCCCTATCATAAAAAAGTTCTTTACGATACTTAGATATAAACACAGAGCAAATACAAAGGGGAGTGATTTTCATAGAAAAATATCTATTAATTAAAGTGCTTCATGAAAACTACTTACGACAAGCAGGACAACTGGTTGGAGGGTCCTGATAAACGGGCTTGACAGTAGTGGGAGTTGGGTTATTTCCAAGTAAATTACTGATCCATTCGATAAGTCCTTTCTCTTTCTCTTGAGGTTCAACCATAGTCGCAGCCTGACAGCTCGTCCAGCCGACCAGGCACACCAACAGGACTGCCCAGTTCATCGTGATTAATATCTATAAACAAATGTAGTAGCCTGTAGTGTGTTTAGTCGATTATTGTTCTTTGCAAATTATCAATATGAACTATTGGAAAAAATAATAAAATAAGAGTTTCTATCAAGTCTCGCGAATTTTTGTACGGCAGACATCTTTAGATGTCTTTGTTGCTACGTTGGAAAATAAACATAATTTCTATACGCATTAGGTATCAAGCAAGTGTCCCAGAGAAATTTATTTAATACCTGCACCTAACAATTAACTTCAATTAAGAGACCTGCGTTCTCATACATTCACATCTTGGAAACCGTAACAAGTTCAATCACATAATTAACATCCTTATCACAATCAAGCAGGCGTTTTTTTACAGCTCATTACAATTTATTTGAGTATACTTAATAATCAGGTTTCCAACGAGATTGCATTACTGATAACGCTAACGGAGAATCAAGGACACGACGTGACCGGGTCAAAAAACCCGCTGTGGGACGCTGAGGTACCGCTAACTTAAGATCACTCATCAAAACAACATCCATTAGCATTTATTTTGGTTTTTTTAACGCTTGATAACGACAAGTAACATAAGTCACGTGCTAAGGATGCCTCAAGGAGGCATATTGGGCCCGCCTACATAGTCGTAGTGAGAATAAGCAAACAAAAGGATGTATTCGACGCCGGTACATCTTCGCTCGGTTGTGTTCGTGAAATGTATTCTGGTCAATGTAAAGAAAGATTTCTCTTCCAATTTGAATATGTCTCTTTTAAGGTTAAAAGAATTACGAGAATTTATTTTCTACTAACAGCTTAGGTTGCGACCTCTGACCTTAATGAATTCTTACCATTCATTGTTGCTACTTATTTAAGAAAAGTTTAGATTCTTACTAGGTAGGTAGTTGCGCATGCATTGTTTAATTCGAAGAACGTTTATGGTAGGTAAACTTATTTAGTTATTCGTTAGAAATCGTCTTGCAACATATGGAAACGGCTATAAATAATTTGTTGAATGGTGAGTGATAGAATAAAATTGAAATTTCCCGATTGGTATGCGTGCAGCGTGCGACTCCGCGGTTCCCGGGACTCTCTACACTTTAGATAGTAGAGAGTCGTCGGTTTTCCTCCTCTTCGATTATTTCACAGAATTGAAAGTAAATTCACGGAAAACTAACGAAGTACTTATGTTAGTACAGAAACTTTTTAAGGTAGAAAAGAAAATAATCAAAAATTAGCTGTGTCCTTCAATGTGATGAGGCTATGTTTACATATAATCGCTACGCCAGAAAATCCTGTAGATGTGATTCTAAATTTCTAATGTAATAGAACAGATAGGCTCACTGGAACCTTCAATTGAGGATACACAGGTTGTCATCTGTGTTACTGATTTTGATATCCCATATTACATCATACCTTTGAGTAGGTATAAGATGTTACGTTAGGCACCTTCCATTTATTTCAGCTGTAACTATTAATGTGAAATTACAAAGAAATGATTATTAAGATCGTTGGGTCATGTAAACTACACGTACTCCGTTGCTATCCAAAGAAAATAATTTACAGACCGCATTTTAAATACAACTGACATTCTGCAGACGTTAATTTGAAATGCATGTCATGTCAACACTTCTCCAACGGAACAGGTAATTATTTGGTTTGTTCAATGGAATTTTGTTTAAACAGGAATTGGAATGTCAGCAAAGTAATGTGGATAATTGTAAGGATGAAGATGATGTGGTGTTTCAAAATAATTAGTTACTTTTAGTTTACGTTCTATACAAACTACAAAGTTCCTCATAAGATGCAGAATTTCAAATTTATCCAACCAGAACTCAAAATATTAAGTAGGGTGTCTATAAGGGCCCTTTAAACGAAGAAACGAACCGTTAGAGCAAATAACTAATTTAGAAAAAATACAAACCGTTGTTTTAGTTGTGATCACAACACTGCACAACACACCACGAATAAAAATCAAGGTTAAAAATGAAATCGGAACTCACGAGGAGACGGTCACAGTGTGTAAGGAGGAGGACGAATGGCGGTGACGACGCGCCTGCACCGCACACACTACAGACCGCAGACAGGCCAGGCCACCAACACTTTCTCCACTCCGCTCCACTTAGTCCTGCCCACCGTATGCTGGTCCTACACCCGCACGACCACTTATAAACACCTAATGCCGATGTCACAAATTCCATAACACTGATATTCTGCAAAATTATGGAATTATTATCTGTAATGGCGTAATTAAGAGCATTAGCGAATCATGGGGGACCATAATAGATACCTATTGCCTACATGCGATATAGATCTGCTAGTTATTGAGATATACAATGATGTTTACCTACAGTGGTTATGAGCTATTAATGACCCGCTTTGAATGAATTTTAAACAGGCCATTACAGTCACAAGTTTGTGGTTGCACTGTAGTTTAGTGCGGCATAATACGTGTAATTATTTGTTTTGTTGGGCTAAATTAAATATATTATTATCATCATCAGCGCGTGTTCGTCCACTGCTGGATACAGGCCTCTCCAATGGCACGCCACTGAGCTCGGTCTTCAGGTCTTCTCATTAAACCACTATCAGCCACCTTGCGGATGTCGTCACTCCACCTAGCTGGAGGACGCCCTACTACGTTTGCCTAGGCGCGGCCTTCACTCTAGAACACGTTTACCCCAACGGTATATTATTATAGTATTCATTAAAGTATTTTTTCCTCTTTGGCAATTCATTTCATTTAGCGCCTGATCAATTTATTTTTATAATCAAAGCGCCTTTGAAGTTGACAACGCAGTGAAATGTATTGAAAGCGTTTGCTTTTTATATAGTAGTAGGCTCGTAAAATGTACACTTGGTCAGATTGGCTTGATAGTGTACTAATATTACATTTGTGTTAAATCGTGTAAAATAAAAGAGATCATGTATCCAACTCCGTAACTAGGACGTACAGACTTCAGAATATGAGACGTTAGAAAAATAGTATTGTTTCATTCATTTATTTATTTATTTATACTTTTGCAATATACAGGAGTCAAAACTACTAACCATTTAACAGAGTTCGAAATGAGAGATGGAAGTATAAATTCATTGAACTCCGTAATTATGTCTACTTCTAAATAATATAACTTGGCACCTCATAGACCTACATAATAATAGAATTATTTATCTAATAACATCACGATTAACTATCACCATTTAACATCTACTTTAGTTAGCTTAACTGTTAGGCCACTGGCCAATTTACATTTCAACAAAAGATTGTGATTCCCTTATCTGGGTAAACGAATTGTATTAGCTTTAGGCGCGTATTCATATGAAGCCTAACTTTTTAATTTGAAGTTAAGTTTGAGTCAATGGTCGTGGTGGCCCGGAGGTTTAAGACGCCCGCTTCTCATGCATGAGAGTGCGGGTTCGAAACCTACCAACGGCAAGAACCAATGTGACTTTTTCAAAGTTATATGTACTTTCTAAGATTATCTAGACACCACTGACAAACGGCGAAGGAAAACATCGTGAGGAAACCTGGACTTATAATTTCTAATTATAAGTTTGTAATCGCCAACCCGCATTGAGCAAGCGTGGTGATTAATGCTCAAACCTTCTCCGTGTGAGAAGAGGCTTTGCTCAGCAGTGGGCACTTATAGGCTGTTGATGATGATGATGAAGTTTGAGTCAACGTCAATTCTTAATAAGAATTAATAAATTTTCCTTACCCCTTTAAACTAGCGGTAGGTACAATTAAATAATGATTTTACATTTAAGTTAACACGTTGGTCAGGAGTTAAGTTCTTTTAAATGTTGAATAAGTACATGGTAAACATGTTTTTATTGAAATAAGGAATGCCCCTAACACGGTAACACCTCGTACATTTTTCTGATAAACACCTACTCAAATCCTACTTATTTTTTTCTTTCTTGGTATCGTTGTTTGAGATTTAACAGATAAAATTTAAATTACAAACAATTTTAGTAAAAGAGCAGCCTACTTAGTGCTTACTTAAGATCTTTACTGGTATGGTGCGGTATCTGCGTGTTCAGGGGACATTTAAGAGGTTTTTACCTTTCTACCCGGTGCGCAGGCGCCGTGCAGCACATAAGAACATTGTAACTAGGCCAAACAGGCAGTATCGAAACAGCAACAATAAATTCAATACTTGTTCCAACAAGATTCCGATGTTTTGCAAAAAAAATCTCGAAAAACATGTCTTGCAACGGGAATCATGATCATTTATCTCATTACAAATGCTAGTGTGACGTCCAAGTGCGATGTTTTGGTCAAAAGTAAATTAAGTATTGCGACTTAACTGTTCACTTTAACGTTTCAAAATAAATGACACTTTCATTCATAGATTCGATAATATTAGTTTTCGTTTTTTTTTATCTAACTAATTATAAACCGGTATTCCAGTTGATGTAAAAAATATTACGTCAGAAACCGGTTTGTCTGCACAAACCTTGTAGAAGTGATAGTTAAAAAAAAGTGTTGAATATCTTATTTTATTATCCTAATTATCTTATCTTAGTTATTCTTAACACCTTATATATTCGAAGTTTCGAGAATTTTGTTCTTAGCCAAAAAATGCGACGGTTCCAGAATAGATCCCTGGGGAACTCCTTATTTTACCGGCTAGCGGCTATCGAAAAGTAGGCGTAAATATGTAGTACACATTGTTAATTAATTATAAATAAATATTTTAATCCGGTGAATGTGATATTGTGTTCATGAATGTTTGTTATATTTAGTGATCGATGACAAAATGTTGCAATTCAGAAAGGTGACAATAAAATCCAAAAGTGGGTCATTACATGGTCAAAGTGTATGCAGGTCGATACCGGCCAATGTTGGAGCAAGTATGTCAGTGCATCAACTACATTTCGTTTCACAAATATTGTGCAGAGGCGTGAACAGATATGATAATAATAAAGTTGGTATTACTAATGGTTGCCATTACACTAAATAAACTGTGAATAACTTTCGACATGGTAATGTTTTATTTTCATAAAAGCATAAGTAGTGGAGAACATAAACCAATATTACTTTTATGAAAGTTTTATAATATATCAAGATCATCGGTGCCATCAAGTGAACATAAAGAGGGTAAAATTAATATGGATTTAAATCTTAATTTGTAGAACTTAAATAAGTTCTATGTCTTAAGTTTGAATGTCCCTTTAATTAAGTGGACATTCACATTCTAATGGAAACTTCTTGTCGTAGAGATGTGTCACAGTGTCAGACATCGCTGAAGCTGTTAACTTTTTCAAGTACTTATTCCATTTGTCATCTTCAAGTAAAATACTGTTTTCTACATTGTTTAAGAAATAAAACAAACTTGACGAAAACTAACCCTTTGAAATCCTCTGACACACTACCAACAAATAATTACCCAAGTGTTTTACGGCAATATTTGTTTGACACCTTTTACCGAAGATTACACAATGGAAAGTCATTCTAAGCACGACTCATGGAAAAACACGGCAATATTATTATAGATAGATTATTATTTATTCATAATGCTCAAGGGTACTGTTAATCCAGTCTAACATAACATTGCAGATCTCTCAAAGAAGGCGCAGAGGGGGTCAGAGGTTAAACAATATTATCTGGTGTAATAGGGATGACCCTATTTAATACTATACCACAACAGTATAATCATATTAACTAACATTTGATTAAAACGTCGGTGATTATGGTACAAGAGAGGCAAATCTAGATCCAGACCAAAGAGAATAGTGCTCCAATGAAAATATTCAAGACAATGCACTTTATTTTAGTTTGCCAATTACATACTGACACAGAAAAGAATGCACATTAAAAAAAAACTAGATGGAAAACGAAATAGTAAACTAATATGGTACAGCTTTGAATGCATGACGACATTGAACTCTACTAAAATGTATGAATGTATAAATGGCTTTATACCAAATAAAGGGAAAACCGTCGATAAAGCTACCCAGAACAATAAAAACTCCCAAAAGAATAGATTTCATTAACGTTTTCCAAAGTCTGTGTTTAGAGCTTTATAAGAGATATTTAAACAGGTCAGCGAAAATAAATTAAATTAAATTATCCTTCAGAATAAAAGGTAGGTAAATGTTTTTTTTTATAGCATAAGCCGGTAAACGAGCAGACGGATCACCTGATGGTAAACAATCGGCGTCGCCTATGGACACCTGGAACATCAGAGGCGTTACAAGTGCGTTACTGGCCTTTTGGGGATTAGGAGTTTGAGGATTATTGGGGATTCAGGGATTGGGGAGATTGGGGAAGGAAAGGTGGGGTAATAGGGCCTCCGCTAACGTCACTTCACGACGATGAAACACAACGCAAGTGTTACTTCTAGTCGGTTTTCTGTGAGGCCGTAGTATCACTCCGGTCGAGCTGGCCGGTATATTTTTTTAATAATTCTGTGGTGCCGAAGCATGGCTATAAGCATGGAATGTTGGTACATTTATATTAATTGCCCATTGGGAATAAGGATGTTTCCACAATAGTTTTTTTATGAGATTAGCCGGTAAACGAGCAGACGGATCACCTGATTTTAAGCATCGGCGTCACCCATGGACACCCGGAACACCAGAGGCGTTACAAGTGCGTTATCGGTCTTTTGGGGATTAAAGCAAAGCACTAGAACTCGAAGTTGCAACAGAAATATAAAGAAAAAGATATTCCATTTACCTACTAAATTAATAGGACAAGTCTAAATTAATTAACGGTACCTACTTACATCTAAACTGCGAGCGATGTAATGAGTTGTATTCACGACGTGTGAGGTGTAATCAACTCCATAGCACATACCTTTCTTTACATTCGATTAAAAAATAATTTGAAAGTGAACTTTTACTTCCTAATTAGGAAAAACATTCTAGCTCAAAGCAATAAATTAAGTTCCCATTTTTAAATTAAAGAAGCTCTCGCTCGATTAAAATTCTGCTTCTCATCGTTAATGTTTAATATAAATTATATAAAATATTAAAAACGTCATCGAATCGAAAATGAATTGTATAACAATAGTTGGATATTGTACGATGGGTAGGCGTGCATCGTTATCTGTATACGGGTGGCCCGTCGCCTTGGCACCGTTGCACACATCTTCCACACCACGCGGCTCTTTCCATGAAACTAACCTTCAAAATAAAACACAAGGTCACCAATGTTTGTCTAGACAAACTGTGGGTAACCCTTTGGTAAACATTTCGCAAAACGAGGAAAAGATAACTCGAGGCAGTTTTGAGGTTCAAGTATCAATGTTAAGTAAATTTCGTCTTTCAAGGTCTCTACGACTGTAACTGTTTATGTTCTTCGGAGTTCTGATTGTATTTGGATTTTGTAATCCAGGGCCTCTAGCCAAACGCCACTTTAGCGCTTGTCTACAGTGAGAGTAGATATCAAAATGTATGGGGATGACACTGACAAGTGTCAAAATTTACGTCAATTCCATATAATTTGGTTTTCTATTCTACATGTAGACAAGCGCTAAATGGCATTTGGCTAGCACTGCAGATCTGTCACATATCTACTTGTAAGTTAAGTACCCATTTATATTTTATTAAGGCTACGGCATTGTGCTATGAGACAATAAATTATTACATACGGTATTTACGCATGCTGGCATTACGCACATGATAAATCAAAAATATCATCTACCTACTGTATTATTCCACGGCAAAATGTAAACAAGAAAGTAGAATGGTGGCTCGATGTTACTCCGACGGCCACTGGGCGCCGCGAAGCCTTCGTACTACCTCTGCATAAATGTTTGTTCCGAAATATCAAAAATTGCAAAACGTTCAAAATACAACGCTTTAATCCTGACATTACGTAAAAAGTTGAGTAAGATTGTCCAAATATAAAAGAATTAAATTGAACCACTCGAGCCATCCGGCACCGGGTGAAATTAAATGCACGTTGCGTAACATTCAAGCTCGACTTTCTGCAAGGATACTATAATATGCGCACTACACGCGACCTACTCACGGGCGACTTCGCGACATCCTTTCTACACACAATGCTCAAATATCAGGTTATTTTAAGACGCACTTCTTACAACTATGCAAAAGCAACGACATAAGCTAAGATCACAAAGTTCACAAGTACATAAATATTCATATCTTGATGACTACTCAAACTAAAAGAAAACACTTTTACTGAACACGATCCTATGTATTTTACTACCTAAATAAACAAATCATTACGACTATAAATTTAGACCGATAGTCAAGCGGAAAATTAATTCCAAAATGCATCACTGCATCATGGTAACCCAGACATTCAAGAATTTGGAGCAATCAATTAAACCAATTGAACGTGAAAGCGATCCCATTCATTTATCTGTACACTTATAAGGCATGCAACGGGACCCACGCTCATTTAAGGGCATACCTATATTAATTAATGACAAAATATGTCTCTACCAAGTAATAACGTGATGTAACTAATTACGGAATACGATTTTCCGATGCCGGTCTGTCGCACGTGAATGGCAAGCTTTGTTTTGTATTTATGCATCTTTAAGAAGGGGGCTTGCCTCTCGTCCGTGCATGCAAGAGCCGATCGAATGATGAATACCAAGTCGCACCACTACATTCATTTGCAATAAACTTGTTCATTTAAAAGATCGATTGAACAAGATGTCCGACATGTGAAACTGTTACATTTTTTTCGATTATTAAAACTACTTAATAGGAATAATTAACGGAGAACCCTAATTACAAGAATGATTCACTAAATTGTAAAATTAGAACGTGTTTTCCATCCATTGGCAGGCAACTAGGTCAACACCATCTGCACAAACTATACGAAGCTGTAGTAAAATGCAACGTATATTTGCATATGTTTAAAAGTAGAACGGATTAAAAGAATCAATGACAGAATCTTGAACAAATTGCTCAATAATGTCTATCGCTTCAAGGTCATTATCTAATGTGGTGGTCACTGGTGGTCCTCCCACAATCCCCGAGCGGGCACGGCGCGAGTGGGGTGACGCGGCCGCCACCGTCACTCGCTCAGTCGTCGCGTTGCCGTGAACTTGGCCTGATCTGGTCTGTCACACTGGCCCCGAGGCCTTATCGGAGGCGCCGCCCACGGCCTATAATAGCTGGGCCGGCGTCTCCCCCTGACTATAGAGTGGGCTGTGACTCCGTCAGACATGTTTCGCGTCCTCTGCTTCCTCGCGGCAGTCGCCGCAGCCACCGCCTGCAGGCCCTGCAGTGAGTGACATTCTATTATTTACTTCTGCAACCTTTATTTCAGCAGCTACCATCATTTGTGGTCAAGTGAAGTGTATTTACAGTTCAAAAAATACTTTTCCTGTAATAAAAAAACATACGTACTTTATTTAATTTCACTAATTAATAAAATAAAATTAATTGAAAAAATATCTGCGTACCTATAAATTTTTTCGGTGAGTAAAATTAATTATCTACTTACATTCGCAACTTCATATCAGTCAATGAAGTGGTTTCGTAACTACCGATTTTCATTCAGAAGTAGGATATTGTTGTGACAAGTGGATATTCTAAAACAAATTTTAATTTCTAATCTCTTATTCAATAGACATTACTTCAGTTTTGGTTATGTCACAAAATAAGTGCTAATAGTTTGAAGTGCTTCTAGAGAGCGGCTACTTACCGCCCGCCGATACTTATTCGCGTATATACCGATGTTTGTGTAGAGATAAAACCGCTGAGATATTTTCACAAGTATGTTAAGTGCCCCGGATGTGTAAAGTACGTCTTCGAAATGTTGAATTTATTGTCTGTTGCTGATCAACAATTACATCCGACTTTGTGTAAAAAGCGCGCGAACCGATAATGCCGTTCAAAATGCAGCGAGGAAAAGGGCTTATCTTTATCGCATTTTGATCGTAATTCACGACCTAGTTAGATAGCAAATGCTTGTGTTACAAAAATGCACGTGTAGTAAAAATTCATGCGATATTCGTATCAATGAATTCTAGTGCAGCTTATAAACGAGATCAATTTGGCGCGAATGTTTGTTTACTAACATTACGTTCTAGTATGCTAATGAGCTTCGTCTGTACGTCGTCGTCACCTTCTCTAAACCGAAATATTTTTGTCGAATAGAATTCGACAAAAATATTTCGGTTTATATGCAAAGTGAAATTACTTTTATATTGGATTCCTAAGATATTGCATCAGCTTGCAGTCATTGTGAAAATGTGCATTTTAAGGAAAATTTTAATATGATAAATCTAGTGGAAAAGCAAAAGAAAACGAAGAAAAGCTTTTTAAAAACATTCACTTTAAAAAATAGGGTGATCAAGACGTTCCATATACAAAGTCAGAGGACTTTGTCCAAAGCTTACAATCACAACATTTTACCGGTGGAAGAAATCAAATATTTTACACAAAACCTGAAACTTTCGAAAAAATGGAATTCAAGAAATGCCATCAGGTCAATATCAGTTAGGCAAATGTGATATTTGTTGTTATATGCATACTCACACAGCCTCCAATACAATTGCTTCATATTAGTAATCAGTTACCGCTTGACCTGTCCTCAAGTCAGGACTTGACCTGCTTGACAAATTCATAGGAAAAAACCTAGGCAGGAAAAAAATCTAAAACCACAATCTATCTTAGTCTGTTTATGTAATTCATCAGAAATACCCCGTTATCATTTTGATTAAATAACTTTTCGTAATGAGCGTAAATTCCAATAACATGGCGTTGATTTATAGACCGTCTAAAAGATCATATTACCCAAATTCCTATACGATGTTGGAAACATGATACTATGGTAATGTCTAGAAGGTCATAGACCGCGAAAAGATAGGACTATCTTCACCTCTAATAAGGACTTTCAACATGATGATGGTTCTTAGAACCTCTCTATACGTCAACTGAAAATAAAAGTTGAAAATCAAATCCAGTTACCGTTATTACTAATCCTTTTTATTGGCAATTGGCAGGAAACCTGTTTTCATTTATTCACACGATTCATTTCCAATCTCTAAAGAAGTCATAAGATACTGCCTCCCTTTGGTATGATTTATTGAACCGATTTATTTAGCGATCGCGAAACCTCCGCTCGTTTCCACCCGCTCAGCTCGGTGCCTATTGAGTTTTATAGATTACTAACTAACCCGGCAAACTTCGCATCGCCTAATTCGTTTGTCTCACCTTTTAAACCTTCCCTCGATTTTCAAGGACATTTTAAGAATATAATAGCCAAATCGGTTCAGCCGTTTTCGAGTTTTAACTAGACTAACAAACAGAAATTCATTTTTATTCATATAGATAGATTCTTAGACGCTTCTTCTCTTAGAGCTTCTTAGAGGCTTCCTCGACAAATGGACGACACAACACAAACAATATGTTTCAAATCGGACCAGTAGTTCATGAGATTATCGCGTTCAAAGAAACAAACAAACTCATCAGCTTTATATAATAGTATGGTGTATAGTATAGAAGATCTAGTGGGTGAAATTTACTTGCAATATTTTCGTTGTTTCCAGCTTGTGGTGTAGCCAGAGGAGCTCGTGTCGTGGGTGGTGAGAGAGTGACTCCTGGAGAGTTCCCTTGGCTAGCTGCCCTGAAGAGAGACGGGAAAGTCATCTGCGGAGCCACCGTAGTTGCTAGAGATCATCTTATCACTGCCACTCACTGCGTTCATGGGTAAGTTATCTTTCAAATAAACAAAACTTTTAAAGATACAAATTAGGCACACTTTGGAGCAGAATATACTTAAATATATTTTGATTATCAAGACCACAATTCATATTTCCAATGAAAATGGTTTTCGTAGTCGCTCAAAAACCTGCAGTCACAATGCAAACACAACAATCACTTCACATTGAAGTATTGTTTACGTGTTTAAAAGTAAAAACACTTAACTGAACCTCTTCATATGCATCCGATACTTCAGTAGTACCTACCACAGCTTGTCGATATGGATACTCATATCATACTGCTAACAATCAGGTAGAATCCCGTAACCTTGGTCAGTAACTATGACTTTGACCTCGTAACAAAATGTACGTAATACGTGGCTTATCATACAAAACAAAGCTAGTTGAAGGACGTCTTACCGATACATATGCAACTGCCTATCTGTTGGTCCTAAGACTGTAGAGGCAAATTCAAAAAAATAGGACAAGAGATTAAAGAAGAAGGATGAAGGGTAAATTAAAAATAGGAAAGATAAAAAACAGGAGGATTTTGGTTTTGTAAAAGATTTTAAAACTATAAAAATGATCATTCCACTCTGTAAGACAGTTTTAAATAGAGTAACGAAAATATGTAATAATATTAGAACGATATCCACAACAGATGAAGACAAATCAAAATATATAAAGCTTTGACCTTAGCAAACGTTAGATATCAAAGCGTGGATTTTATTTACTAACATCAATTGCGACATGGATATTGTTTCTCAATAGTTTTTAAAGATCAATATTATTATGTAGATATTAAAAGATCGTGTCACTATTAAACAGAAGCTCGATCAGAACTTGACCTCTCGCAACGCCAAATGCGTATAAGGTGTTACAATAACACTGTATTTGTAAATTTTACACTCTCTAAATTTTATTTAAAAATTCGATGTGATGCCGTTTTGTTCACACCATGTTTGGAAGTGAGAAAGCAATTTCAAATATAGAAATCGAAAGTAGAAAATATTGCAGGATCACAGGATGTTTCTTAAAGTCATCTTTATTTAAATTATTATTTAACACATTTCTGTTAACTTTAATGAGTTTCAATTTTTAAACTTTATTAGCATAATCACACTCATTCAATGAAGTTGATTTTTTCTTATTTCGCCCACATCAAAAACAAGGTCAAATGTCATGTTCATGCGGTGACCCATTCAGATATTTAAACGTTCAACCTAAAACTCTAATCATTATTGCCTCGGGAGAGATGATGATGTTGATGACCCACTAAATGATTTATTGACACATGCCTTTCTATAATATCAATTTACATGTGCAAATCTGACTATTAGTCATACAATTGACATGAATATCTTATATGATAATAATAATCGTTTTATAGTTCCGTTGCTTTGGACTATCTACAAACAATAGTCTATGTAGGTGAGTACTAATTGGTGAAAGTGAATTATTGACTTTGATGGAGGTATCAGAAAGTCATGTCATCAAAGAATTTGTGCACAAAGAAGTGTGAACAGTTGAACACCTGTCACCCATCGGAAGTCGTTGTGGGTGCTTAACAGTTCCATTTAACTGTTTATAAAGTCAAGCTTAATCATTTTGTACCAGGAATTATATTGTCTTGTCATCGCACCTATATTTTTTTCATTTCTATCTAATGTACCTACTATCATCGGCACCTCAAAAGCTTTTGTTCGGTCTAACTGTGAAACGTGACTAATACGAAAGAAAAAGTCACTTTCATTAACCGTAAAAAGTAATTTAATTGGTGCCATCTCGATATGAACCACGGAATGTAGGTACTGTAGTGTTGAATTTTGACCTCTCGCCTTAAATGCTAGTCCCAGTTAGATAGCCAAAATAAGATGCGGAAGATATATACACATCACACATAAGAGGCCGCGTGTGTTAGTTCTCGATCCTTTTAAAGTGAGCCGATAATTTTGAAGAGGAGGTACTGATTACATACGTTAACTGCATCTGGCTACTAATAAGCAAGGGGTATAGCAAGTTCTACTGTTAACCAAGAACGATTTTTGTTGGAAACCGGTACATGGGCGACGGAATGTCCCGAGGGTTCCGCAAGGAACGTAATTAGGACCAAACTTGTTTCTTCCTGAATCTGCAACGTAAAATACCTATACGATGTCATTTTGCCATATTTTACTTTTTTGCAAATAAAAGCTAATTGGTTGTGCACGCATGAACAATAAGGAAGAAAGTCCGTTATTTATTGAAATAAGAGGTTATTTATAAATTCGTTTCAGTGCCCAGCACCGTTCGTCACGTTTTATGACGAGCTCTGAGTAAGGATTAGGATTCCTTGTAGGTTTTTAAACATATTTATAATTAACCTTTTGAAAAATAATTATGGTCTACACATAAATATTAATAATATTCCAGCGTTTTCCGCTTAGTCTGACAGATCAGCAAAATATTATCATGGTTTTCATGCCTGTACTATCTAGTACCGCATAGTTCTTTGACAATCCCTGGTCTGCCAGACAAATACGGAACCTTATGTCCTGTCTGTTGAATTCAAAGAAACAGTTAGGTACATATGAAATGCATTGCATTTAGTTAAAACTTTTACAGAGTTTGGTTTTAGTGATGTTTTAATTAATTCCATGCAATCGTAACTGTTAAAATCTGATAACAGGACAAATATGCATGTCCGTGTATGGAATGTGCATGTGTGCATTATACTGAGCATTGCCTCCTTGTGGGATATGTTTTATGACTTCGCATTTGACCCTCAATTCGTTCCTGCTTTCCTTACATTAAGAGGGACCAATAAAATACTGTTGCAACCGCACAAGCATTTTATTTATGTCAATTTGTTACTTACGCATTTTATTGCCAGTGCCACTTCTTACTTTCTTATTCGATTTTCGACAATCGTAAACTTACGAAAATTGCAACAATATTGGGTGGGTGTTAACTGTAAAAGTTGTCGGTGCGAAAAATCTGAAATCCATTGTCATAGCATTTACAAAAAAGAGCCACTCATAAAAACTCACACCTTGTCTCCTTACATCACCCAACATTTTGAAAGGTATTTATGGACCCTCCAATATCAATTAATTGATGTACATGTAACGCTCGTGAAGAAGAAGTCACAGACCGGAGGATTCAAAGATTTATTACTCTTACAATTAAGTATAATTTAGAAACTTAAGTAACTTTCGGCAAAAGGCAACATATTTTACATAACATTAACAACCATGTGCCCTTAAGGTTCCCAAAACAATACTCACACGACCTTTAAAACCTCCGAGACTCCGACACACTTTCTTGGCGGTAAGGTTACGTAAAAGGCATTTATAGTAAACTTACAAGATTTATTTGTACGCACAAATAACCCTGATTGGCACTTAAAAGAAAAAACAAAAACATCTTCATTATTTACAAAGTGGCCAGTGGTGTTATGGAGACTTAAAACAATAAATTTTGTAAAAGCTTTTGACAAAAATACCAAAAAGTGTCTTCACCAAATTCTACGTCTATATGTTTAAGACGTTGTTCTTTCTTGCGTAGGATATCCCACATGATGAGTCATAGTTTTGGTCAGAATCCTAGGTACCAAACCTTCAAAGTTTGTCGACGAATAAGTACTAACAATTTTTTTTAAGCTTACGCATATAATAGTATCAAATGCAATATATTTAATTCCTGAGCATTTGTGTATACTGTATTGTATACGACAACCAATCATGTCTTTAATGCATTATTTATTGTCGACCACGACCTGAAATAGATGGTAGAGTATAGAGATGGAGGCCAATGTTAGACGATGTCGCGGTCTCACCTTGACGTTGAATGATCTATGTAAACCTAAGCCTAGTGATTTTTTTTCATGGTTGCATGGTTGTATACTAATTGAAAATATATACTTCAGTCCTCGTACAATTGGTACACTTTCATTGCTCAATCAATCACTGAATCAATTTTAGTGGAGACAAAGATACACAAAAGATTTGATAAGAAAGCATTGAACGCCATGAAATATGGAATAATGAAGAGTATATTTTTTTCAGGTTAACTGTTAGCGAATGCCACTAGGCATTAAGTTGACCATTGTATATTGTACAAGAAGTGTAAAATAAATTATCATTTATTATTTATCCTAATACCCAAAAATTAAAGCCATTATTCTTTGAAAGACCCCAACTAAATAGATTCCATACTCGTTCGGATATTTTATTTGCCAAAAAAATATAACCATTTCGTAATTTATGCATTTTATATTTTAGTAAAAATGTGGGCAAAGGCAAATGAGTTATGCAGCCGTAAAGTTACATCACACCAATGAGGTTAAGGTCGCGTTGGATGCGCTCGCGATCCTTTTGTCCTCTCCACTAGCCACGTAGTGTCACGAATCGATTGTTTCACATCACTTAACGATGTGTGCCGAATTTTAATCGCCGCTTTAATGAGATACAGCTAAATATTTTACATTATAAACCGTGAAACTACAAACACAGATAATTTCGTAAATTCAGTTGTTTATTTACCGGTCATAAATGTCGAACTAAGTGCCGCTTATTTCGGTAAAATTAATATTTCCGTTGGGTATAATTACGGGGTACCTAATTATAATACGTACCTAAATATTTAATAACTGCTTTTTCAGGTTTACAGTTTATTTTATTATGAATTTTGTTCCGATGCCTGCTGTACCTATAAGTAAATTAGCTCTCTCATCCATTATCTTGCTGCCCTTTAGTTTGACTTTAGATAAAGTACCAAATCAAAATAATATGTAATTTCGGTACACTTTTACTTCCAGGATTGAAGCTTCACGACTATCAGTACTCGTTGGTGAATATGATGTGAACAACTCGAGATCTGACGGCTACGAGGTGATCCACGTAGTCCAGCACCCTGATTTCAACAGATACACCTATGACTACGACATAGCTGTCCTAAGACTAGCTGATCCGTTACCAGATAGTCTGTTCAGACCTGCATGTCTACCTGGTAAGATTAAACAAGCTCATAATTCTATTACAACTTCAACGTATAACTACAAATTCAATGTACTTACATGATTATTTTATTTTTTTTAAAAAATGAGATAATTTAGATAAGTGCATATCCTTTTTTGTTGTTCTATTCCTGGTCGATTCCACAGGACAAAAAATAAATTGGATGACCTTTACTCAGTCGAAAAAAAATTATGTATTTTTCTTAAGCTTATAAATGACTTCTGTCTAATTATTTTCAAAATAATGTGCCAGTATTTTCTTCTAGTGTAATAAAACCTATTTTCAGATATTTAAAACTGGATGAAATCGCAGAAAAAATAGTTTGATGACATAGCTATCATAAAAAAAATATTGATTTCTTTTTTAGTCATTCTAAAGGCATTTGTTATATTTTTTAAGCGAAATAGCCATTATTAAAATATTCAATAAGGAATTTATTTTAATTAGGAACTCTTTAATGAAACGCTGACATGTTCATCACGGGAACACAGAAAGTGTTTCGTGGAGTTGTACTAATCATAATATTATGACAAGGGTTGAATACTTACATTGAATGTGCACCAAGGACCTTCAAAATGATGTGGGTATTGTATTATCCACAGTATATCTGATGAGTGCACCTAAACAAATTTTAAGCTTTCAACGATGAATAAAAAATTAACCTTCCTTTGTTTAGTAACGAATGTTTAATTATAAAAGAAACCAAATGGTAATTTCCCTTTAGGCAGGTGTTAAGATTCTTAAGCCATACATAAAAACGTTATTGAAATTGTAGATGCTGAAGACATAGATGGTCTTGAAGGCGAAGAAGCAATAGTGACAGGTTGGGGCAGCACTGTTGAAAAGGGGCCAGCTTCCAACGTACCGATGAAAGTAAGGAAGTAAGCGCGCGATCAGCATGTGATAGGATCATAAGCATTGTAATGGAACTGAGCTTATGTCAAGAATTCAATTAAACGAAATTATTTCCGCAGTAATAGATCCTGTCATATTCTAGTCGCGCGCGCAACATAATTTGAAATGGCTCATTGTCGGTGGAGGGGACGCTTTTATAGTTGCTTGCTTACATAGGTACCTAACGAGATTTTATTTACAAATTCTGTAAGTAAAATGCTTTTCTTTATTTACGTATACCACTTAGCAACTTAGCAAATTACTCTTTGTTTCTGTTTATTAATGAGCCTTTTGCTATGAAATACATTAGCAATAACTGCGGAAGTCTTTGCATGGTCATTTCTGTGCTCATGTAACAGCTGATTTCTGTTTAGGCTGCCGTGCAGATTTGGGCCCAAGAAGAGTGTTCAGGCGCAGGTTACGGTCGCAGGAAGGTGACACCGCGCATGTTGTGTGCGAATGCCCCTGACAGAGATGCGTGCACCGGTGACTCCGGTGGACCATTATTGGTCTCCCAACCCTATTTCACTTTAGTTGGTGAGTATTATAAATGAGATTGAAATTAATGTTGTAATAATTGTGCACAACTCGTGCACAGTGTGACTGCCTCGTTGGCCGAATGGTCGCAACTGCGACTGCTGGGCAAGGGGCCTCGGGTTCGATTCCCGGGTTTGGGCAAAGCATTACTGGGTTTTTCAAAAATTCTTTTGATTGAAATTGTGCCCCGGTATAATTATAGCAATAGGCTTGTGAAAAAAAAATTGTGAAAAGTGGGTGTTACATTGTGTAGTAGCATTAAGTGCCGTAATGTGCACCTCTGTCTACCCCTTTGGGTATAAATTAAGACGTGATGTTATGTTATGACATGTTATGTTATAGTTCTTCACAAAACGAACGACAGCGCTACTTAACCACAAACCATCTTCCTAATTTATTTCTTTTCATTTTCAGGTATTGTGTCGTGGGGTAGAGGGTGTGCCAGACCCGGATACCCTGGTGTGTACGCTAGAGTTGGACGTTTCCTGCCTTGGCTTCGAGTGGCGCTACGTCATGCCTGTACCTGCCAACCTCCAGCTTATGGCTGAAACTTGTGACAGACTGACATTGGCGAGAAATTTGTAAATAGTAACCAGTGAACATGGCCAGTTTATTACTACTATGGACTAAGATACTTAGATAAAATGGTTAAGAAAAGATACACAAAAGACGTGTCTCACACGTGAAAAAATTATTCACCGTTCAACGTTGCGTTGCATGTCATATAATAGGAGATTAACACTTAGTATGAATTTATACAAAATAAATGTACTTAGGTAGGTACCTACTAAGTAGTACGTACGTACTTAGTAGGTATCTAAGTACATCTTTGAAATGGAGGCCGCCTAAACATAACTGTAAATAATAAGAAAAAATGTTATAGTCTGTAGGTGCTTGTAGTTTTTGTAACTTTGTGTAAATCAGCATAAGCCTAGAAGTCTACGTTTGCGTCGATGTAAATGTTGTGGATGACTATGTAGCTATGTCTTTACTGGGTTTATGCACGTGTCAGTATTAAATTTGTATAAAATCTATCCGTATTTTAGAGTAGATTAACCCTAATGGCTGTGATTACCTTAAGATTCTATGTAATGTAGCTAATTTATATACCTATAACAAAAATGTTAAATAAAATTAATTTAATGTAAGTACTAAATGATCAATATTGTTTATAGCATAGAATTCAAATAGCATCTAATAAAATCGCTTGAATAAAGTTTTGGAATTTTATTTATTTACACAATATCTTGAAATTGGGCGACAAGGAAGTTTAGGTAAAGTTTTTAGAATCCTATAAGTACCTAATACCTACAACGCAATATTTATAACGTCACTCTTTAAATGTAGAGGTGTTTATAAAATTTATCAGCAAGTTTTCCCATGTAGTGTCTAATTTTCCCATGAATTTGAGAGAACTGAATTAACTTTTCAATTCCTCAAATACAGTCCAGTTATGGCAATACTGGGTGTATTATTGAAAAGTGATGCTTATTGAAATTGAAATGTGGTACACAGCTATTGTTTTTATAGAAGAAGTTAAATGCTCAAATATAAAAACACTCAAATGTATATAAAATCAACACGTTCAGTATTTCAGTAAAATAGAACATTTAGTAAAAGTTAATCGCAACTTTTTTGAACGCAACTTACTCTATTTATAGTCGATGGTTCAACAAGCTCCCGCGAAAATTTGACATTTGTGTGACGTTTGCACGACGCCGTTGTCAGCTGATAAACGATCTCATTTTGTATTAGTTAAAATTTATAGAAATATATGTATGAAATAAGCTTAAGTTCATTCTAAAACTTAATAATCGTTTTACATACTGTCTGCCATGAATTTTTCGGACAATGAGGCTGTAAGTAGAACTTTTTATTCATGTTGATAAGTGAATCGACAATTTGATTGTGTTGAAACAAAGTTTACCTTGTTTCTGTACTGTAAATGTTCTTCATGTAGTTATGAATACCGTTGTGACATTGTGCTTAGGTTGTTGGCTTACCACTATTTGAATTATATATTTTAGGATGATACTTCGAGTGTTGAAAGTACTTCGAACACAGATAATACTTCACGCAGCGAAACTCCAACAAATTCTCGTGTGAAGAAACGTAGACGAGGCAAAAAGAAGACTACTAAACAAGTGAAACCACCTTATAAGTTCAAGTAAGTAACGGGAGTAATTTCTTTATTAATTATCTGAAAAAAAAATACCACACCTATAGAAAGGACTGAATAAAATACCACACCAATAGAAAGGACTAAAAATTACCACGCCAATAGAAAGGACTGAAATAAAAACCATGCTAATAGAAAAGACTAGCAAAATGTAACATGCCAATTACTCTATACTTGTAAACAAATTACTAATTAGTTCAAGAACATTTCTTATCTTTGTAATATAACAGCTAATACTGGTTCATACTGGTATTAAGTAACAATAAGTGGGCAATTCAGACTATGAAACTAAATACTACACAAGACAAATAATAGTCTTGGTCATTCCAGTAATTAAAAGTAATTACTAATTAAAACTGAGCTGAAGTTCAATGCTATTGGAACATAGAGACCCAGTTAGATAATAGACACTTGTTCATTTAGTAATTTACATCGACCATGAGGAATAACTATGAAAGTAGTATATGTTATTACGGACATCATATTTAAAAAGTGGTCTTCCATGAGGAATAACTAGAATATGTTAACTAAGTGGTATAAATCTTATAAGTTGAACTGTACTTGAACTCTGTGAACTTGCTAAATGAAAAAAATAGTCCTAAATGAAAGATCTATGTAGAGAAGAGTTAAAACCATGCCGTGGGAGGATCGCAGCTAATAATTATTTATAATATGTTTCAGTTGCAGTGCTAAAGAAGACCATGGCCAGCCCTTATTTGGATGTCAGTTCAACCACCACTTGGGTGAGGGACAGCCGCAGGTGTTTGCAGTTGTTGGCAGCAACAGAGTCTCCATATATGAATGCCCTGACTCTGGAGGCTTCAAATTTCTTCAGTGTTATGCTGACCCAGATGTGAGTAGTTGTATATATTTGGAAGATTTCAAACATAGATGTTTGCACGTAATAAGTGTTTGATGAAAACATTACCCAAAGTCTATTTTATTCTAAAAAAACTAAGTCTAACTAACTGTATAATGCTTCTTTATCATTTATGTATTTAATCATACATTTTTAAAATTTATTGAATAAACTCTTGCAGGTTGATGAGACATTCTACACATGCGCATGGTCATATGAAGAAGAAAGCAACCTGCCTCTACTGGCTGTTGCTGGGTCTCGGGGTATTGTACGCATTTTCCAACCTTCCACACAAACCTGCATCAAGCACTACATTGGTCATGGACACGCCATCAATGAAGTCAAGTTCCACCCAAGAGACCCTAACTTATTGCTGTCTGCAAGCAAGGACCATGCATTAAGACTGTGGAACATCATGACAGATGTTTGCATTGCTATATTTGGTGGAGTCGAAGGCCACAGAGATGAAGTCCTCAGTGCAGATTTTGATCTCAAAGGAGAGAGAATAATGTCTTGTGGCATGGATCACTCGCTCAAACTATGGCGGTTGGACAAGCCATCAATGCATGAAGCTATAAAGCAAAGCTACAGCTTCAATCCTCACAGAGCTTTGAGGCCTTTTAATTCTTTGAAAGAACATTTTCCAGACTTTTCCACTAGGGACATTCATAGAAATTATGTTGACTGTGTTAGATGGATGGGCGATCTCATTTTATCCAAAGTAAGTGCTTCCCAAACTACCATCAGAGTTTTGTTTAATTTGTTTCTTTTATCTAATTTATACCTTTTGTTTACCCCAGTCCTGTGAGAATGCAATAATCTGCTGGAAGCCTGGTCGTCTCGAAGACACGGAGTTACGTCCTGGCGACAACTCTGTCACTATTGTACACAGGTTCGACTACAAGGAATGTGAGATATGGTTCATACGATTTGCTGTGGACTATAGTCAAAGGGTGAGACACATTTTACTTTTTATGTCATCATAGACTTTTGTTTTATATTCTCTCTCAGATTATTCATGTAAGATGTCTATTACAGGTGATAGCATTAGGTAATCAATGCGGTAAGACAATGGTATGGGAGCTTGGCAATGTGGCCGGAGGCTCGCGCGTCTCGCAACTGGTGCATCCAAGATGTGTAGCTGCTGTCAGACAGGTAAGATCTATTATAAATACATTATAAAAGTTTTATTATGTATCAGTCTAAAAAATAATATTTAAAATACCACAAATCGTATAACACTTCTTTCTACAGCTGTGTTCACGTTCCAATATAGGTTCACAAAATTCCATAATTATTTGTTCAGGTGACGCTTTCCCGCAACGGCAAGATCCTGTTGACCTGCTGCGATGACGGCACCATCTGGCGGTGGGACCGAGTCTGCAGTAATATTTAAGTAAATTTAATATGCATTATGTAACAAAACACTAGGATCTATTGAGAATCTTAATGAAATGCATGAATGTAATGAAATTTAGCAAAGGGTAAGATAAATTTAGGTTAATATTATGTTTTAATTGTGTAACTGAAGTTTTCATTACTGAATATTTTTTACAATGTGATTGATCACAATAAAACAAGACTGGCTTTTAGTCAATGTAAAATGTGTGTCATTTATTAGTTGGAGTGAAGTGTAGGACTGTAGGTCGTAATTAGGTACAGAGAATGAAACAACAGTTTTATGACAAATTTTATTTCATGACCAACAAATTACGTCTACTTTTATTTAACAAAATGAATCACAGGGGCCAAGGTGTTATCTCGTGTTCACTACTCGCAGTTAATGTAAGACACACATACAAGGTTGCACTACTCGTAACCACGTGAGTCCTAATACAAGTATTCAGTTACCACCTAACTCTAGACACCGATAAACACGACCCTACGAATCGAATTAAACATTATCTTCAGTAATACCTATAAACTAACGACTAGACTAACATCCATGACTGCATAATTGAATTTTAGTCAACTTCCATTTAATTCAGTCTTTAAAATTTTACAATTAAAACGAGCAATAAAGACTGTAGAAACAATAACCAATGTACAAAATGTTTAACATCATTAATCATTTGAGATCGAATTATAAAACTTTGTTTAATTTTTTATTTTAATATATTTTTTTAATTATTTCAATTTACGTAATTAGAATACAAATCACGGAACTACGAGTATCTAAAATAAAGGAGACGATACAAAAATAATATAGGTATCTACAGTACATAAGCGTGGTACAAAACATCAGTCACAACAGACACATTGAGCTAAGACGATACGAAATACATTCACACAATCATAAAGACAACAAACTAATACCGACCACACAGACGTCGACGGTGTACAACACAAAATATTTCGCTAGGGGATAGTCATGGGGTAGTACGAATACACTACTTGAGTATCATATAACTTATAATGAAGTAGGATTAAAGAGAATATAAGTGCCTTTACACACGTTCCGGTTGCCGGGTACCCGGCGGCGCAGTGTATGGCCTTGTACTGTAACTTTAACATGTACGGCATACTGGCGTAATTTGTATAGACTGCGCCGCCGGCTACCCGGCACCGGCTATCAGGCAACCGGAACATGGGATAAGACACTAACGCTATAATATATAAGATGTCGATTTAACGCTACCAACGATTGAGAAATTTCTAAACAGGAAACAATAACGAGTACACTAACAAATATCAACAACTAACAAAGGGTACATATTACGCTTCAACTTCGTAAAGGCACGTAACTATAAAAAAGAAACCATTCAACACCATGGTTAACATTAATTAGTATTGTGTTACTTTCAATGTTATAAATGTCATTGGTAGATGTACTTGAATGAATTACTTTCTGAAACTACAATTACAAGTTATAAATAGCCAATGTCTTGTTTACATGTTACCATTGTATGTTACCATACCAATTGTTTATATTTCAATTAACAATAAAGGTAATACAGCAAGGCTACTAGAACTTTGTCAAATAGTATTTTATAAAAAAAAATGATTTCAGATCACTACAAAAGTATCTCTACAATAAATAATAACTCAATTATATCGAAGAGGTATATGAAATATGCATTTAAGTGCGTCACTATTGCTTTCGTCATTAGGTCAGGCTCGCACTTATGCAACGTGTATCGAATTAGCTTATCAATCAATCGTCATGAGGTAACATGTAAACGAGACTACACAATCAATATATCGACGTAATAGTTCTGAAATGCGTCAATCTTGAGCGCATGTAAGTATAACCACGACAACTTGACCGTAGCGCAATCACCACAATGACGTCAAGTCGTTTCAATTCTATGGTATTTTACACATCTCTACGCACAAAGGTAAAAATGTGTGACTACTTTAGAATTGCTATTGTAACAAGATTGTAGCATTTATTTATAGTGGACAGGTGTTCTTTAGATGATCGGAATAAATCTGCTATGTACTAACATTTCTTCTTACATGCACCCGCGGTTATGTATGACAATCAAAGGACCGGCTTTTTAATCATCGACAACCATGCCCAGTTGTACCAACAGTATCATCTCATTAAATAAATTTTGTATTCAGATCAATGAAAGGAATGAAGACATGGTAATGTTGGCATAACTGAGCAGCAGTAAGCTCACTCTTGAATCACATAATACAAAAGTAATAACTCATCTATAAAATATCCGAATACGGACAACGTGTCACTATTCACTACTCTACGACCTCTACGTCCATCCATTGCATAGGTACGATAATATTTATTAAAGTGCTACGATATAATATGAATTAACACTACATTGGGGCGGTTGTATTGTAATACTTATTTATTTTATACAGGGAAACGTGAGAATGGAACTAGTGTTAAAGGCGATAAAGTTCAAGATTGTATATTAACCTTTTCGCCGCCCAGCTATACTAAACACGATGTGTCGCCGTACGCCAACGTATAAATGTATAATAAATGTATAGTACGAAAGTAGGGATGGCGGTAACATCATGTCGATAATGAAAAAAAATATGTGTAAATTTAAATTGGTACTCAAATTTACAATTAAAAATACAAACTGTTAAGTTATAATGGTAATTTGTTTTATTTTATGAACATTTATACTAAGAAAAATGGGTATCCGTTATCAGAGATGAAGATACATGCATAGAGTTGCTAGAGATAATAATAATAATTCGTAACATTAGCCACTTCACTATTCATTTCATAACGTAGTCTGTTTACTTCATATCAAGTCATTGGCGTTCAAAGCACGATACATTTCGTAAGGAATAGTTGTCTATGCTTTTCTTTCTTTCTATCGAGTTTGGTTTGCTTTTGGTTTTAGTTTACATTTAAAATCTAACGTCAGGTCACGATCAGGAACATTGTTTGTAGTGATTAAAAGTGGCAACATATGTGTAGTTTTGGAAATGGATGGTAAGTAACTATTTTAATACAGATGTACTAAACTTTAATAGCTTATTTTTCATTTAATGCAAATGAAAAACTGGCACGTTTGATGGATATTAGGTAGTCATAAAATACCTATTCGTTGCGGCTCTCGGTTTCCCAAACTTTTAGCTGTGTCAAATGTGCGTGCACGCGTCGCCCGGAACTATGACACAATGACCTTGACGCCTAAGCGCTTACGACGTCACAGGTTTACTTCTATTGAAGTTGACGGCGCTAGTGTCACTCGACATCTTGCCATTACGTAGAGATGGGTCTAGCAATATCGAAAACCCTCAGTACATAATAATTAATTTTAATGAAATGATTTGATAGGTAGATGTACATTAATTTTGAAACGCATTGTAATACGTTATTTACTGACCGGAATTTCTTTTTATTCATAGAATTCAAAAAACTATTGGATGGAAAAGAAAACAAATATTATAGTAAATAAAGATTCTAATGAATGCTCCTTACGCGTCACATCACTGGCCTACTTGATATGAAGTCGTTGGCGTGCGGGATATAAAATTATTTGAAACCTTTTATGTTTTACCTTTTTAAAACAGAAAATAGTCTGTTTTGCATGAGAAAAAATAGTTCGTCGTGTCCATATTACAAAATTACAAAGAAACAAATGTTTTATGTATCGTAAATGTATTTTTTATAGTAGGTAGATACAATGAACTTCTATAGAAGTAGTGGCGTGGACGGCACGAAAATCCTGAACTTCTATAGAAGTTGTTGGCGGCGAAAATTTAGTTGATTGTCTTCGGTCTGTTAACTGAACAGCCTGTAGTGTCGACCTATTGTATATCAATGTCAAGAATATATTCTTAGAAGATTGAAGTTATGACAAAATACAACTTGTATTAATAGGCTGTCCAATGCATTTGAAATATTGAGAACGATTCCCCACACAATTTCCTACAGTTGCACATAGCACGCGATATACCCTTTTAAGCGATTTAGCATCGTTCAGCTACATTCCGACATGATCGCCTTCATAGTTATACAAAATTATTGTTATTTCTAAGTATATAATTTACCCTGACTATAATATTTGACTAGATTCTTTGAGATCAAGTAATAAGTTACGAATTCGGAAGCCATTCCCGAGGACCAATAAAGGTATGAAAGAAAATCAACATTTCGCCGATAGATTCATAAATATTATTATAAATAGCAGTTTCTACATTATTATTGTCACCAATGAAACTAACGGAAAGTTTTACAAAGTCTTCAATTTTTACTAACGATGTATTGATTTGTTCCGTACACAAATTTCCGTTTATTTCTCATACCTTTAACTGGTCCTTAACCTACACTAAACCTACGGGTGGATCACAACACCGAGATAAGTATGCAAGTACCATTAGATAAGAATAAGGAGTGCCGAGTTATATGTATAGTTACAACTGAAGTAGACTAGGAAACAAAGTGCTAAGATGAGGAAGAATGTTCTATATAGATAATTATAGTTCTTGCATCTTGTACATATTGAATTGCAATATTTTAAATGGACATCTTCAAATAGGAAACCAATTGGAATGTTATTTAACTAATATTCTAGAAGTTTGCGCTTTACTAAATGTAACAAATACATTGTTATCTTTGCTTCAATAAAATAAATATCAGATTTTATTTGTCATACAATCTAAGGCTAGCTTCCACAAGTTGTGTGGAGGGTCACTACAGTGGCAGCCTACAAACCCTGAATCAATAATCAATACTGGGATTGAATACTAGCCGAGCGCGACATCAGACATCATCATAAAAACAACAAAACTCATGAATTTTATATTCGCGCAAACTTCGAACGCGAATTGATTTTCTAACGTGTCGAGACGTACACGAAGCTACGTAACCACTAGTCTAAGCGAAAATGTTTTAGATAATATCGATCGATTGTATCTTGGGGCGTGATCTGAGCTCTATTTGCCAGCGGAAAGAAGTCAGTTGGCAGAACGAGATATATGACGCTTTGACATCGCGAGAAGAATCCGTAATCTTGAAAAGTATACAGCACATAGTAATCATAGGTACACAATATAACATTTATATATCTACTACATAATACCACCACATTATTGTTATTCCTACAGAGAATGTAGAGAAATAAATTATTTTCGATTACATTTTTCTCATTGCATCGATGATTTCTAATAAAGTTCAAATTTTCCTCGTGATTGTCCCATCGATTTGCTTAACTCCTTCATAACTGACCTAGGCCCGTATAAGTACGTCACTCTCAGTTAAAGAGCACCCTTTTGATGATAGTTCAAAATTATTTTTTTAGTTTTTGTGCTAAGATTAAGGCAGAAAAGTGAAATAAAGATAAGATATTTGAGATGGTTCTCATGAAAATAGAAATAGTTGCTACACCCGGTATAATTTCACTTTTAGTTGCCTTCAATAGACATCAATAACACACATTTTGAGGGCTTTTTACTGAGAGTACATTATCTATCCGTCATAAGTCACGACACAGTCCCTAGTGCACATCAATATGCTAGATGGAACAACTGTCACCGCACTTCAGAAAACACTTCGGCACAGCGTCTTTCTTCACTAACCGAGAACTACTGCTGGTATTATTCGAACAAACAGGTGTTGAGGAGACGTGACGGACATACGGACCTCCTGGCAAAAAGAGTGCAAACGGCGCCCCCTGTCGGTGCTTTAGACAGACTTCCTAACAGCGTGCTCGTAGTACCCGGCCGCGCAGGATACCACGAGTAGCGGCTGCTAGGTGGCGGGGCTCGGCTCGGGCGGTCACCTGACGCGGCCGGACGGGGAGCGCAGGTGCGACCGTATGTAGCCCGTGCGGTAGTCCATGGCGTCGCGGTTGCGGCCCGTGCCGTTATTGCCCCGTTTGCGACTACGGCTCCATCTGGACACATCAAATTATCCAAAGTTAATACAAATCTTGTATTATTGGAAACTTGAAGTATAATCTACATCCGAAAATACAAGTCACTCACCTCAAAAGCCTCATGATGTAATCAGGCCAGTTGTCCGGAAACATGACCAAGAAGAAGCCGACGCCGATTAGTATCAGACCAGCGAGATTCATGCCCTCAAACTGTACTCCATACAGGACCACGTCCAATGCTACAAAACAAATTAATAAATAAGTAGATACGAGTTAAGTACGTTAAATATCCAAAAAAATAATTTAAATGATCAATTTACCTGCCGAAACCGGGACTGCGGTAATAAGAGCGAGTGAAACAAAGATATTGTATGTGATGATATTGCCGAACTGAAACACGAGGTGGAAAACTGTAAAGAAAAAATATAATTAGTTCAACAGTACAAGCAATGATTTATAACTTTGACTGTAAATGTTGTAATACTTACTGAGCAACGAAATACTAGCAACGAGCAGATAAATCCAAGGCATGCGGTGGGAGGGCAACATCTCGGAGCCGGTGAGGTAGAGTGCGAGGCAGAGAGGCCACAGAAGGGACGCGTTCACAATGCCCAGAATAGAGAAGAACAGGGCGCGCTGACCAGAGTTCACGTCACCCATCACTTTTCTGAACAACACCTGCACCGAAAACGTTTAGAATGAAGCTTAACACTTGCAAACAAGTGGACAATTGAATCTACATCATATTCTGGAATTGAAACATACGTCAGTTTGTAAAATATGATATTGACGCCAAAACGTTGTCTGTGTGACGTTTTGCGGCATCGTAACTCGCAAACGGATAAGGCCGTTTTCGACAGACTTTTTTAGTTTAAAACTAATTTCCTTGTGTAATGTTATACAAAGTGTGGGGGAGCAATGCTTCGGCACGAATGGGCCGGCTCGACCGGAGTGGTACAACGACCTCACAGAAAACCGACGTGAAACAAAACGCTTGCGTTGTGTTTCGTCGTGTGAGTGAGGTTACCGGAAACCCAATTACCGATAATTAACAAAAAAGTGACGCCTACCTTATATTCTAGCCGTGTGTTTTGTTAGGAATAAGTGTATAATTAAGAAGAAAGACTGCCTCGTTGGCCGAGTGATCGTAAGTGCGACTGCCGGGCAAGGGGTCTTGGGTTCGATTCCCGAGACGAACAAAGTATTACTGGGTTTTTAAATTTTCTCAGTAGCAGTACGGATTCTTGAATTGTGCCCGGTATATGGCAATAGGGTCACCCCCTATTACATGGGACTCAACATAAATAGTGAAAAGTGGGTGTTACATTGTACAGTGGTATAATGTGCACCTCTGCCTACCCCTTCGGGGATAAAAGGCGCGATGTTATGTGTATAATTATTTCAGTTATTTACAGTATGGTTTATAAATGCATCCTAAAGTATGTCGTCATTGACTGGCCGTCTGCTAAGAAAAGTTCCCTGTGTATGCCGTATAAACACGATTAAAAGATCGATCGACGAAATCCATTTAATAGGCACATTATGCAGTTATGAGATTTACTACCTCATATTAAGTTCTTAAGAAGTTTACACTCAGTATGTATTACCCTGAATATGGCGAACCCTGCAGCGGCGCACGCCGCTAACACCACTCCTCCTAGGGTTGAGCTGCCTGTGATCCCGTCCATGTACGCTAGTAATGCTATACCGGTGTCGCATAGTATAGCTGCTACGATCTAAAAATAATTTCAATATTCATAATTCTGCTGCATGAAAATCGAACTGGGTTTGACGAAATCTTTCATCTACAACATACTCCTGCCGTGTGCCTGCTCTAATCTGCCGAACCGAAACAAATATTATAGAAATCATTATCTGGTCAATCATCACATCGTCACTTGACGTTAAGAAGGAAGTAGGTATATTAAAGATCCAAGTGATTCAAAAATAAACCGTTTTTATTTGTTTGTTTACAATAATAATAATATACTTTATTTCAATCTTCTTACAACGTTAACGACTACAAAGTAACGTGATGTAGCTAATTGACTTTAATTAATGTTCGTTCTAGATCCGACCGACATGAGCCTAAGGGCACATTCGTGACCACGATGTAAGATTATAAAAATGGAAAATAAAGAAAAAGTTAAGAACAAACGACGCCATTTCCGGCCGTATGGCACCCGATAGTGAAATGTACACACGCAACCAAACCCGCCTAAATGCATGAAGGCCGGTCCCTTAACACCAGCTTGGGAAACGATTTCGATTTTTATATTGTAATATTGTTCTGTAGGAGCGTTTCTAAGTTTGACTGCACTGTTGGCGCAGTGGCTGGGTTCGATTCCTGCACGGAACAAGTCTTTGTGTAAATTTGTATGTTTGTAAATCTACCCACGAAACAGGAGAAAATTCTAGCGTGGTACCACGGTAATAATGCAATTATTATCAAAAAAAGTCTAAATAGGCCGTAAATAAATCGCGCCGTGGATTTTGGGGTGCGGTTTGCCACAGCTACGCATGATTCGTGTCACTACTTGCGATATAATAGAATATGGAAATGATGTCATAACTATTTACATTTAATACTAATGTCAGTTCAAGTTCAGCATATGGCCATAAAAAACCTTTACTTATAAGTATTCATATACTAGCTAGAACAATACTAAAACTTCCTACTTAGAGTATGTATACCATGACCGACTATTAATATCAAGGCACCAAACTACATAATGTATACTGTAGTTCCACTCACCCTGACTCCAACAAACTGTTCATGTAGTATGACCCATGACAGGAGATAGATGCATGACACATTGGTAGCAAACAGTGCCATCACATCAGTGGAGAGTAAGATCTTCAGTGCATAAGTGTACATGTAGATTGTGACTGTCCACAGTAGACAGAACAGACCACATCGGCTTATGAATCGTGCTGTTGAAAGAATATTATTTTTACTAATACATGCTTAATCTAAACAGTGCTCCTGAGCTGCTATAGTTGGATTGCCAGATTGCAGATTCATTTCATAAACTTTGGGCTATCATGTTGGTTGGTTTTTTATAAGGAGGTGAGTTACTTGTAATCAATCTCTTAAATAATTTATTAGGAGGATGTAAAAGGTTCATGAATGTTTTTCAGGTAAACCAGAATGATTACATAATAAGAATAAACTAATTTCACTTACCAAAAGTAAATCCTTTCTCCTTAAAATCGCTGAAGGCATCAAACACAATATCATTGGCAGACTTACACTTGTTATGTATGAGCATTACTATCAGATACAGGGGGTAAAATAATATCAACCAGTTAGTGCAGAACCATGCTGTGAAAAATGGTGCATTGTAGAGATTCTGAAACAATCAAGGAATATTAAAACAAGGTTTTATTTCACAAACCAAAACTAATATGATTCAGTAGCAGTAAAGACATTTTCAAAGACAGTACTTACATGTGAATGATGTCTAGTAAAGTTGTTGACCATAGGGGATGACTCAGTACTGTAAACCATGCCGTGAGTGGTTGGGGGATACTCTTCAAGATACATGTGCTTAATGCAGTGGGTAGATGTAACCCAGCTGGCAGTTAATGTTAACATTACACAAATACCATAGTATATCTAAAACAAGAAATTTAAATTATCTTGCAGACTGATAAAAAAGAGAAATTCATTTAACTTTTTAGACTTCAGAATTTAGTTTGTAGTGTTAAACTAACACTGCAATTAGCTTCCAAGAGGGATGGGTAGCAGCTTCATTAAAATTTTCAGGGACCCAAACTGCAATTCACAAGTCAAACCTCTTCCTAAGAGGCCTTTTCAGTGAACATATTGTGGCTGATGATTTGAACATCAAAACATATTGTGGATGACGATTTAAATTACTTTGTTAGCTAACTTTAAATTCAAATTCTAAATAACTCCCAAACTGTTTTTCATAACATAAGACAGACCATACCAGTAAATTGATTTAGATTTTTCTTTATAAGAAAATCTTGTAAATATTTTTGGGACATGATTTTAAAATCTGAATTATATTGCAATCAGAAGTTATTCTAATTATAAAGTACCTTCTTGGCGAATTTTGAGCAACAAGATCGGGGGCATTTCTTATCACGCAACTGACGCTCCTCATCCTGACTGCTGGTGGCCGATTCACTGTACGCCTGCTGCAGTGACGGCTGTGTAGTCAGTGGAGGCGCAGAGCACACGGAGGCTTGAGGAGTTAGCGGAGCCCGAGGACTCAAAGGCGTCGGCGGTCCATTCGGACGATCCCTGTCCCCATCACCACCACCTCTTTCATTTTCCACTTCTTCACTTGTTATTATCACAGAAGGAGCGCGCACTCGCTTTGGGTTAAAAATAGTAGGCAAGTCACCGTCCCGTGCCATTTTATTTAGTTTATTTCCAAGTCCACATTATGCAAAAACACCACAACCATATTTTTCATTCAGAGAAAATCAATTTTCTTGATTTTCTTACAAAAAAATATTAAATCATATTTAGATCATTATGCCTACAAAAGCAATAGATCCCTAAGCCACTCATTTATTACATTATTCACATATTATTCATACAATTCCAACCGGTAAAAATAGAAAATAATGAAAAATACATTGAGACTGAAACGATTCACTGTAATATTTTCATCATTCATTTTCCTTGTTTTTCATTCAAAGTGAAAGATTTTCATTTTTTATGTGTTTCCTTGGCAACATTTTAAGTTGCCATTGCAATATAAAATAATAAAATCACCACAGACTATACATAATTTGGATTAAAGGACACCGGAACACGCGGCTGTCTATTTTATTTCAAGTGGTAACATTTTATGTAATGTCAAAATGTCAATCACATTGCATGCTCTCTTTCGATTGGTTGATACTAATCTCGTAAAATTGTGGGTTTGAATTGATTGGTGGAATATAAACCGCAGTGTTATCAAAACTAAAAAATGAATTGATTTTATAGAAACATATTACAATAAATATCCATTTAAAATAAAAGTTAAAGGTTTAATTTAATTGTATTGATATTTACAATTTAAGATGTTTTAGAAATTAAAGATAATTGTGAAAAATCAATAATAAAATATTGTAGCTAAAGTTACACCCATAAACAACTAATTAAGTTATGTTTTATGGAATTTCAAACATCAAAATCATCAGAACTTGGTGGTTTCTGACGATAAGATCTAAATGATGATTAATAGTATTTCAACTATTAATTTATTATTAAGATATTGTCCTTATTAACTGGCTGTTTACATTTTTGCGCTGTACAAAAAAAGATAAAATATTGTCTATTCATAGTGTTTCGCATTTTTGGTGGTAGATGGCATCGTGAAAAGTTCAAAATTACTACACCAGAGGGAGATAATTGGTTAGCCTACTTGAAGCATCCGGGAACCTCGCCATAGTAGTAGACATGGCGGGTATCAACCTGGCTAAATGACGAAATAAATTTTGTTTGGTAATATAAGATCGTGTTAATTTCGTAGAAAAAGTGTTGATACTAAAAGACTAATTAAGTTATATTGGATTAGGACAAAGATGCAGAATGTTGGACAGTCTGAAAACCGAAATATCGATAAGGTGAATGTGCAACTTGATGTGGTAAAATCGTCCACTCCTCAAAGTTCGGCTTCGAGTCCGGCCAAATCTGAAACCGAAACGTATTCAGGAGCGCCTGCCAAATACATGACGGACTCTTCGGAAAGCGAGGATGACTCTGTGTCGGAGGTAAAACGTGTTTTGTTTTCGACAGAGGCGGTGGCAGTGAGGGAATGTGATTATCTGTACCGCTCTAAATACTGCAAGGGACATCTTGTACATGTCTGCTCTAACCATACAGTTTCTTCTATTACCGAAACTACCCTTCTAGCAGAAAGATTTGCTTGAAATCGTGCGTAGCACGCTGAAACGGACTAATCTATTTTACATTCTGAATAGAGTACGTCGCTTGCCAAATATTCCGTAAAACGTCAGAAAGTCATAAGTACATACGTACTACTGAGTAATGCATGAAATTATTTATGCCAGCCGCTCCTAGACAGTATTCAATTGATTCTTTGTAATTCTACGATGTGTAAGGGCTAATCCGCCGTAAGAGAGTTTTCATTGTCTATTTGTGTTTTGGATAAGAATTGATGTGCGGTGGCCATGTTTCTCGAATCACATGCATTCAGTCGATGTGAATATCTGAATAATGGATTTTTGTGTCGTTATTTTACTATGAATGTGCGAATTATATAATTTTCTATTGGATTCGTCATAAATATCGTCAATCATGGAATGTTTTGTTTCGTCACGAATGACCAAGTCGTTCGAAACGTTTAGTGATATTCGCGCAAAAACTACGGTTACTGGTGAATTGCAAGGACCATTGACAGTAACAATTAGCTGTAAACACGTCCTTATGCACCACATTGTCAGTAGATCTCATATGTTTCTTGTTGGTGTTATAGATCTTGCTGGCTTGTTTGTGCCTTAGCAGGCCAGACCTGTTGGTAAGTCGAAGACAACATTACTGAGTGCCCAGAGCTTCACCAACAACAATAGCTGTTGCAGTTTGAGTGACTCTTTCCGTTAACCTGCATAATGTGTGTGCTATGGACAATTACCACATATATTTGTTTTCTTTATGTTGAATGGTCCTTGTGATTCTAACATACTAGTCTCTTCCATCTGAATCTCATCATTTCCAATTCATGTTAACATTACTAATATATTTTATAACCTAAAAAATCTTACTAGATATTGTGTTAAACCAAATTAAAATGAATGATCTTTAGTGCTACAATTGAACTAACCTATAATGCTTATAGTGTTGAAAGACAAAATCTATGAAAATAACAGCTTTATTGAATGTTAACCATAGAAATAAATAATTAATGTTAAATACTGACTATAAGTTGAGATTTATATGACAACAATGATATTCCAATAATAAATATTTTGTTATTAGTTTACTTTAAATTGATAATTGATCAAATAAGAACTACAATGTTTACAAAAACTTTGTACATGGATTTCTAAGAAAATGATGTCCTAAACATAATTAGAAGAGTTTATTTTGAAATATAAATGATAACCTGTGACTTGTTTGTGCATCAGGCGGAGATGGAAGAGGAAGGTGGTGGTGCAGAGCCATCAAAGTTCCTGTTATCCCATGATGACCCTGAGCGGGCTGTTGATCCAGAGATGCAGGCTCGACTAGAAGCTTTGCTTGAAGCAGCGGGTATGTCATTGTTGTACTATTAACTGTGATACACTTTACTTGTTACAAGTTACATATGTGTTTTAGGTAACAAACTTTATAAGTACCTACTGTTTAAATATCAATAATGAATATGTACTTATATTTCTTGACATCTTTGAATAGTATGATAAATTTGATAACTGTCTTCAGAAACACAGATGACAGTTAACCTATGTTTCAACATAAATGCTAGTTCTGTTGATCAGTTTATGAATCAATGTTTTTAATTATCATAAATTACTATGTCTAATGGCCTTAACCTTTGTTTATTTCTCATATTTATCCTGGAATCAATATTGTAATTTTTTTAATGTTGTGTGGCCATTGTTCTTTTTGTTTTGTTAACAATATAATTATTAAACTCCACATTTATTGTAAACCGAGAATAATTTCCCTATTTCGTTATTTTCAATCTGCTCTTCATTTGTTGCAATATTTTGGTAAAGATTTTTACACAATATAGGCTTGTTTACATGTTTCATTGAACAAAATCAAGAAACAAATAAAATACTGAATGTCTTACCTTACAAATAACCTTACCTCAACAAATTGTTGTCTCACTATAATGAATTAATGATCTATCTATTATATTATTTCAAAGAAACTTAGAACCCTACTTTATAATATGTGGTAAATAACATCAGCAATAGATTTGATCCGCATTACATTTCCAGAGTAATAAACCTTTGACATTTTTTGGGAAATGGTTTAATTTCTTCCAATTGGGAGATATCCCAATCTGGGGTCAATGAACTGTATATATTATTCGAGCAGTATGTAAACAAACAATAATGTCACATGTACACAATAGTTTACATGTTGAGATATGTTGATATGATCATTGTACCCTTGTACAAAGGATACACACATTTATGAATTAAATATTTAATAATATTGATTGAAGACTTTATATTAGTTACCATCATCGTCAGTTTGCTTCCGTCCTCTACTGGACATAGGCCCTTTCAATAGTATACCAATGAATCAGATCATCCACTCTTGGAAGCGACATAAATAACGTTTAATGACTGTAATGTTATACTATTTATTGAAATATTAAATAGGCATTAAGTGCCGTAATGTGCACCTCTGCCTACCCCTTCGGGGATAAAAGGCGTGATGTTATGTTATTTATTGAAATAAAAAAAAAAAATTAAAAAGAGTAACAAGTTGGTTCTTGAAATAGCGACAAGATCGATTGTCTTCTTTGTATTAGTACTTCATAGTACTTTTTCTTTAAATTATTAACAATACTCAAATAGTTTACTTTTATTCTGATGATCAAGTTTCACATTACAAAAGGTTCAGTCACAGATATGTTCCATCCCTATGATATTTAAAGAGTAATGTTCTGATGTAGATATCAAGAAAAGGAATTTTCCTCTTACGTAGCTACATCTTCGCGGTCACGGTATGCATATTCGAGTAGTCAGGAAGCTAGTGTTCGGCTGTTCGCTAGTTACCACTACCGGTTTAAGTAAATTACGTGGCGCGGTACTTAAACTTATCTATGTGCAACTGCTTGTGTTGACACACGCGTGACATGCTCGACCCGCGTCCGTAATTAATTGAGCGTCCTTAGACACCATAGCCACTTATTTAAAACTATAAATATAGTCTAACGTCAACTGTTGTATGTATGTTGAAATCAGATATTCGAATATTCTGTTGCCCTTTTCGTTTGTAATTAATGAATAGTTCGCTTGTGACGATAACTTTTTGCTTTAGAGCTATAAATTAATGCACATAATGTGAATAAATACATCTGAATTTAAGTAAGTACACTTAACTGAAATATTTAAGTAAACTATTACCTAGTTGTATGTTTTCATTGAAATAGAACTAAGTCGTAATATACCAATGAAAGTTATTTCCTTCTTATACTAATTTACAAAGAGATATTTGCATGAATTAAACTCGATTACGATTTCCAACGCACCGTCTCACGTCTTACTACGACGCGACGCCTAGAGATCCGAAATGTGCAACGTCACTTGTTAGCAGAAGCGTAATTCTAGGCAAACACTGTTTGGTCTAATGTAATAGCCATAGCGACTTGATTATAATAGCCCTACATTGATATATTACATTAATTGCATACTTAATTGGTATACAAATTAAGAATGCATATAAAAATATTTATTTCCATATTATCATTGTCTTGACGTTACGTTAAAACTGTAACTAGTCAAATTAATCTAAAGTTGGTTAGATTATAGTAATGGTAGCTTCGTTAAATTAAGCACTAGTATCGCATGATAAACCACATCCAACTGATCGTCGCAGAAATATTTACCTAATACATTCGTAAACGTCATCATCACTGCGTCTGCTACTCGCGCGGCGCACCATGAACAGTGCCCCATAGCGATTTGATAAGCTTCAGGCACGCATTTTATTCTCGTATGGCGTACCTATTTAGTTTGGCGTTAGCGCTACACTACTGCTTTGGACGCGGCGACCAGATGGTAATGATCCGAGCATTATCTGTTTCGTAAACAATTGCGTTTGATACAATACAATACATTCATTAAATTGTAAATTATGTGCTAGAAAAGTATGTAGCGCTTTGTGCTTTTTTGTGTTAATTTAAAATCAGTTAAATATTTTACGGTATTAGGTTTTAGTAGAAGTTTTAGTTATCTTTGTAGAAATATCTATATAGTTGTTGATCTTATTTCATTGCATTGATAACAAATTAACTCTGATTCACCAAAATCGATTTATTTTGATAGGAAACAATAATAACTTAATGCATTAATAAATATTGTACCGTTTATCATTATTTACTATGCGGGTTATCAGAGATTTCATTAATATTTTAATGTACAAAATTAATAAAAGCAAACATCCAGTCCAGTTTCCTTGAAGAACTAAATTAGATTAAGAATGTCATTCAGTACATCGCGTTAGAACTACGAAATATTAGCAAATAATGGGCGTCAGTGTGACTAGTGAAATAAAGCACAACCCGCCTTGACCTCTTCGCACACATAGCTGCATTCACTATTTGTCTGAGTAAGTATTTAATAAATCGATAACTTTCGTTTTTCTGCAACGAACACGAAAATACTTCGTTTTCTAGATTGTATTGACTATTTTCATTTGTGACTGGTCTATAGATTAATCGTGAACAAGATTTAGGACGATAATCAAGCCCGTAGTAGATATTTATAATGGCGGCTACAATAAAGACTGTACTTGGATACGACCTTGTGTACATAGCTGCCAAAGAAAGAATTTAAAAGTAAAACTTTACACACCTCTGCATATATTATGAAGCTGCCCACATGGTTATTTTACGCCTTGTCGATTTCCGTATAAGTGCATAATATAAAGTATAAAAAATTTGCTAAACATAAACTGCTCATAGCTATAAATTGTAATACGAATATTGTTGAAATAAATCGCCGTTTGTTTTAACGCCCTTGAGCAAATAGAATTTCTCAAATAACTGGAATGTCCTTGCCGATAAACCTAATATTATAAAAATATACTAAGTCCTAGTTGCATACATAACTATGTGACTTATTAACCCACAGTATGGAGGTCAGGATTTCTTACAAAGTAAGCTCATAGTAATTTAGGAAAGAAGTACTAAGAGCGGTGTATTGTTCTGTTGCAAATACGAAGACTTGTCATTTCGCATCTCATTACAGTAGTGGTATGGCAGGCAGTCGCCCGTTGAGTCCACTACCCAAGTACTGCGGCTTGTGACGTAACCTATGCACGAACAGCCGCGGAAAAAGATCTCCCTGACGGCACGGCGCACAAAGGGAAACAGAACACGCGGGATGTGTGCTATTCAAATGCGCCGTTGTATTAAGCACTACAGGCATTAAGACTTGCTTAAAACACTAAATATTTTATGTGTTAATAATTGCTCTAAAAGCGCGTACGTAGTTATCGTCGTTTAAAGCGATCAGTCACAGTAAGACACCAATTGGATATCGAGAAAGTGAGAAACTTCCACGATAGACTGACTGATGTTGAATGAAATATGTAACATTCCTTTTGCCCCCCATTGTGCGATCTTACACTCCATTGAATTCCTTGAAGGCGAACAATTCACAAAAACAATATCTTGTGAACTTATTAATAGTTTTTATACAGTTACATGAAAATTCAAATTGTATATTCATATTATGGAATCTGCTCAAACCGGCAACAGTTATGATTACTTCCGTTTGTCAGTTCATACAGTATTCATTTACAGACAACTGTCTGATTGTTTGACTCCTAAATGAGGGGATCGCATATTCAGTCCCGCGTGATAACGGTAAACACCAAATATTACAGGGCTTTGATGTCTGCGGACTTGAAAGACGGGATTATTCATAAAACTATGTTATGAACCAAAACATCCCCATTAACTTCTAAAAGTTATTTTTTGTTAGATTGCAAGATCCTGAAAATAAGCGGGTGTTGTCTAAGTAATTATCGACTTGTTTAATTAGAAATTGTTTTACAAAATTGTTCTTCTAATAAGTACACAAATTATTCAGATAGCATGTTCGAGAGCTTTGACTTCTTCATGTTAAATGTACGAATAAGTTTACGTATCCATGTTGTTACAAGTTTGATTAACACTATGTATCTCTAGAATCTTTAGAACTTGCACAATATACCCACATGCCAGATAATTTACGAATAACTTTATCTTACTTACGTTATTATGTCAATGGCCATTAAAATATATCCATGTGCTTTTGTAGTTTTAATGATAAAAAATGCTACCACATGTGGCCAGCATCGCTTAATGTAAAGTCATTTAGTAAATCGATCTCATAAACATATCGCTCGGTTGTAGAGAAAGTTAGCCATAGGTTCCGTCTACAGAACGTGACGTTTATATAAAAAAATACAAGGATTGAAATAACATTAATCAAAGCTCCCACGATCCATAATACTTAATAGTTATATATTTAACAATCTGACGCCTTATTAGCTTGAGTAGATAGGTGGTACTCGAGGAGCGTGAGATAACAGATTCTGCTGCGATAGATCTTTTGTTTATGCGTTGATTGATCGGAGGAAAGTGTCGCGTGACGTCATACGTGTATCCTAATTAGAGGGAATGGAATGTGTTGTTATTCTTAGCTTATAAGGGCCGTGTAATGCATTTCATATTTAACCGCCTTCTGCGTGTGTTCGGCAGTAGCAAAAGAAACATTGAAAAGTATTGTTATGTACAACTTGAGCATCGTTCTTTTCATTTGATAAATTAATATGTATTAAATATTGAAATAAATTTTGTGTAAGACTGCTTGGTAAATAGATTCGCTCTATATGCAATGTTAGAAACAAAGCCATTTTACTGAAAACATTCTCTGATTCAGATTTCAGACTCCTCCTTATTTTACATTGTGTAATTATACTAGACAAATTTTCATAGTACATGAAGCCTTGCCTTAGATTAGACATGCAGTGCAACAGACTGCAGTGATCATAACCATTGATTGCGCTGCAATCTGTAACCAGCGGCTGATCATGTAATTTTAATGGTAATCTCGGGCACTTAAGGTTTCTCTTTGGATTATAGTTTCCATTATCATTTAAGTGTCGTGACTTTAAACTTTATTCAGAGGATGAAGGTTTTACACAATCGATGAAGTAACTTTTTTTTGTCGAATGAATGACAATATTTTGCTTAATGAAGCAATCCTTACGATGTGCATTTTTGTGTGCAGGCATCGGCAAGTTATCCGGTGAGGGCAAGCACCTCGCCGACCCGGAGGTGCTTCGGCGGTTGACGTCGTCGGTGTCGTGCGCGCTCGACGAGGCGGCCGCCGCGCTCACACGCATGCGCAGCGACCAGCCACCACCACACCACCGACACCACCATCAGGACAAAAAGTATGAATTTGTTACCATCCTACCTACTTTACCTATAGCTATTTAAAAACTTTTCTTGGAAAAATATCTACTAACGTAAATGAGTATAATGCGTATATCGACTACATTGTAACGCAACTAAAATTGCACAACCAAGTGAAAAGTCACTTTGATTTCGTTATCATTCAATAATATTTAAAGCGCGGACTCTTGTCCGTATGTTTTCATTGTAACATGTTGACTGGCGAAGTTCACCGTGTGAATCATCCAATAGTACGAGGCAACTAATCACATGTGTTACATAAATCCTTGTCTAGACCGCCCTTGTGTCTAGTGCTAGACAGAGTAGACAGTACTACTCGAACACTAAATTGTACCAAACAATGAGCTTTGATTAAGCACTACTTGTATAAACGCTTTAAGTTTCACAACCAAATTAAAAGTGTAACGGCTATTCTTAGACGCCTGGGCTCAGGGAACGTCAATGATATTAACCTGGAATACTCAAGCAGCAATTCTTTTAGACGACCTGCCCTAATTTCGTCGCAGCAGTGGATATACATATAGCCTAGTTGCCTTTAAAAGGTGAAGTGTGGAACTCTGCAAAGTAGGACACTCATGTAAAAATAACATTGTGAGTGATAGTTTCTGGTTTATTCAAATTCTCATACAAAGTGATTCAGTTTTAGTTACGTTCATAAAATGTACACTTCCTCCCCAATTTTTCTTGAGACATTGAAGTTCTGCACTATATTTACATTTGTAAAACAGTGAGTTAAGTTCAGCCAACGACTGCTAAAAGCACATTGAGACGTGCGCAATTATGCATACCTAATACTTATATGGCAGCTTTTCACGTTTTACACATGACACGCATTACCGTGTCAACAGTTGAAGAATGCTCGGTGTCTCGACGATGCGGGTTAGAGTACGCATGTTTAACATTTGCCGGACGTACTACGTAGTTTTATGTGACAATGTTATCCTTTACGGTTTATACATTTGACTGTATTTCTAACATTTTGGGACCCGATTTTCTCTCTTACGTGGGTAATTGTAAAGACAAAGCTCGAGCTTCGGCCACGTTACCGTTATCCCAGACTGTCCTATGAATGTTTTGCTTACTACGCCGTTGTAAGTCATAATTTAGATTCCACTTGAACGATTCGTTTTTCACATTATTTTTCAACTGTAAATTATCCTAATATTATGTTGAAATTTGCACATTATGTTTTGTTAAAAACAGAAGCCACATATTTCTACACATTTTTATGAATAAAAAATGATGATACCACGGTGACTCGCTCCGAGTCCTCTAATACCAATTATATAACGATTGGAAGCTCTAATGCATTGCCATCAATAATTTACCGTTAACCAGAATACTGCGTCTATACCACACGTGTAATGTACTTCTACAAACAATTAAGATTGTGTATTTATTTAACTTATCAAAAACACTACTACCTAGTTTTGTTTGTGTGTGTATTCGTGTTCACAATAATTTATTTATAATTTTTATTTAATTTTAATGATGAACATCCGAGAATTGAGTCAGTCGTACGAGCGGGAAGCCTCTCTAGTGATACTGTTGACTAGATGAGACCGTTTCGGGACAGTGATGCGTTAAGCTTTGATCTTATCTGATTTATTCTATTAATAATACTTTTGTGTTTTCCTTTTCGAGCATTGATATTCTGTCACGGTGTTAGTTTTAGTCAACAATGCGGGTCGAGTGCAACGGGAACAACACCTACGGTAGCGTCGTCGGTCGGCGCGGACGGCGCACCTTCGCTAGCGGAAGCTTGTTCGGACGGCGACGTGGGCACCGTCAGAAAACTGCTCACCGAGGGCCGCTCCGTGCACGAGACTACAGAGGAAGGAGAGTCGCTACTCTCGCTCGCATGCTCCGCGGGATACTACGAGCTCGCGCAGGTGTTGCTGGCCATGCACGCCAGCGTAGAGGACCGCGGCATCAAGGTACGCTATCCAAGCTACGATCGTAACCGTCGCAGTATAAATGAAGTGTCCGTAAACATGTACAAGTACCGCGTCCGTGCAGGGTGACTGCACCCCGCTGATGGAGGCAGCGAGCGCGGGCCACGTGGACATCGTGCGACTACTGATCGCGCACCACGCAGACGTCAACGCCGTGTCGGGCTCCGGCAACACGCCGCTCATGTACGCCTGCGCCGGCGGACACGAGGAGTGCGTGCGCGCGCTACTGGAGAGCGGCGCCAACGTCGAGGACCACAACGAGAACGGACACACGCCTCTCATGGAGGTACCTCACTTTAAATCACTATAACTATTATACCTGTCATGTATATAAATTCGTACTTTTGAAGAAGAACTTACCCCACGACGAGCCTGAAGACCTACTGTAATGTAAATTAATACATTTTAATTTACTTCCTGATCATAATACAATCATTTCTTCTCACTTAACTCCACCAGTTTCCACGATTCGAATCTAACGAATCGAAGAAAAAATGTGTATAATAATGTGTTGCCGCTACGTTTAGGCGGCGTCTGCGGGTCACGTGGGTGTGGCCAAGATCCTCCTGGAGCACGGCGCGGGCATCAACACACACTCGAACGAGTTCAAGGAGTCTGCGCTGACACTGGCGTGCTACAAGGGCCACCTGGACATGGTCCGCTTCCTGCTGGCGGCCGGCGCCGACCGCGAGCACAAGACCGACGAGATGCACACCGCGCTCATGGAGGCCAGCATGGACGGACACGTCGAGGTCGCAAGGCTACTGCTGGACTCCGGCGCACAAGTAACTACGCCCTATACCTGCCCACATACGACGGTGACTTCGGCACTCAGACCTGCATAACTTAAGACACGTTTTTTTCTTGTTTGCATAGGTTAACATGCCGACTGACAGTTTCGAATCACCGCTGACTTTGGCGGCATGCGGTGGCCATGTTGAACTAGCGATGTTACTTCTAGAACGAGGAGCTAACATCGAGGAAGTGAACGACGAAGGCTACACTCCACTCATGGAAGCCGCTAGAGAAGGTACTTGTTAAGAATTTATTATATTACTAACCTGAATCTTATTTAAATACTAGCTGAATCTGCAACGTCGTTTGCGTTTTTTTTTAAATAAAATTCCTGTCGAAATCGGTTCAACCATCTCAGAGATTAGCCAGTACAAACAGACCGAAAAAATTATAAAATTGATTAGTTCAATATTACAAACTGATACTACAATTTTATTTATCTGTATAGATATGTTTATAAGTTATACAGTATCACAATAATAAATTGTTGTGTAAATAATATATTGTTATGATATATTTATCAATAAAAAAATCCTTTATTTGAGAATGTAGGTACACCTAAATACTTTGGTTCAGTTATACCAGCGCTTTATAAACCAAAATTAATACATTATTTTTTCAACTCAGGTCATGAGGAAATGGTGGCATTACTACTGGGTCAGGGAGCATCAATCAACGCGCAAACAGAAGAAACTCAAGAGACTGCATTAACACTGGCGTGTTGCGGCGGATTCCTCGAAGTGGCCGACTTTCTCATCAAAGCTGGCGCCGACGCCGAGCTAGGAGCCTCCACACCTCTTATGGAAGCTTCTCAAGAGGGACACCTCGAGCTCGTGCGGTCAGTAGATTTTTTCTTACGCTTCTATTGTACGCTTATACTGGGGTATAAGTATACAATAAAGCAGAAAGCAGATATGTAACGAGAAATGAACAAGATTAAGAGAGTGGTGTTTCCCGCAGGTACCTGCTGAAGGCGGGCGCGGACGTGAACGCGCAGACGCAGACGGGCGACACGGCGCTGACGTACGCGTGCGAGAACGGACACACCGACGTGGCCGACCTCCTGCTGCGGGAGGGCGCGCAGCTCGAGCACGAGAGCGAGGGCGGCCGCACGCCGCTCATGAAGGCGTGTCGCGCCGGACACGTCTGTACTGTGCAGTTCCTCGTCGGGAAGGTCCGTGTTGCGTGAATACGTACGGCGTACGTGTTGAATACAAGTATTCTTAATTGTATGAAGAGAACTAAGGAGAATTGTTCGTCTTTCTATAGGGTGCAGACGTAAACCGCATGACCGCTTTGGGCGATCACACGCCGCTTTCACTAGCGTGTGCGGGCGGACATGTGGACGTGGTGAAGTTTCTGTTAGCATGTGACGCGGATCCATTCCGCAAGCTGAAAGATAACTCCACTATGCTCATCGAAGCAGCCAAGGGAGGTCATGCAGCCGTCGTACTTCTCCTGCTAGACTACCCGCACTCCGTCATGTTACCGAGAGGTAAGTACTGCTACTCTACCTATTGTATTGTTGTCTACACTTACAGATTCATTACTAAAGTTTTAAAGTCATGTCTTTTTTTATTTTGTTGCGTCATTCAGTTTCCTATGTCACATATGCGTTGAAACGAGCAAAGTTTAAACTGAATACCGTGAGTTAAATATGAGTGCGGGTACAGGTAACGCGACGGCGGAGGAGGCGGGCGGGCTGAGCGCGGCGCAGGCGGCGGCGCTGGGGCTGGCGCACGCGGCGGCGCCGGGCGCGGGCGGCGCGGCGGCGGGCGGCGCGGGCGGGGCCGCGGCGCCGCGCGCGCTGCTGCCGGCGGAGGCGGGCGCGGGCAAGTTGTCCAAGGTGTACGTGGACGAGCGCGGGCTGGCGGCGCGCAAGAAGCCGGAGCCGGAGCCCAGCAAGCACAAGTGCACGCGCAAGCAGCGCGCCGCGCCGCCGCACTCCGACCACCACCTGCCGCCGCCGCCCGACATACTCGACGACAACGTACGTATACGGCCGCCGCCACACCCACTCCGCTCTAACCGACGATTTGCTGCTACTAACCACTAATTCACGTTTACTGACAAACTGGGATATTGAGATCTAAACATAATCTGAATTGTTTATGCTTCTAGAAAACCAGGATTCATTGTTCAATTCACATCTTTCAGTGGTCAATAAATTGGACAGTGAAATATATGCATCAATATCAAAGGCCTCTATTGACAACTGACTCTATGAAAAACTACACTATGTGAATGTGTAAATTAACCTTTTATAATTCAGTATGGTCTACAGATTGAAATGCGGATGTTTATTTTATTGATAACTGAATACAAAACTAAATATCACTTGTATTGATCTCTCTATTCTGTCTGTATACGAGAATTTCCGCTTTTACAAAATGTAAGATAGTGTACTCAATTAATTGTATTTTGTATAACTATAAAAGTATTATTCGACTTTTGGAACACTTTACATTACATTTTCTAACAGATTTCTATGTCTTGAGATATTGTGTATGCTCTTTGCTCTGTGTTATATATTGTAAAGGGTTCTAAATGTTCAAACATAATAAAAAAAAACCCTAGGGAAAATTGGCAAAATAGCTTCAATCCCCCAATTCATTCAAGGTAATTGATGAATTTGCATTCAGAAGTTTAATATAAGTCACATTTTTATACATAATTACAAATGTTACGACCTTTTATGCATAGAATAGTATTTGTTAGATGAGTTCACTATTCAATTCCTTCAATATCAGGTTTTGATAATGTTAAATACAAACGGTCCCGCCAGAAATAACAATAATGACATTATAAATAAACATAACACATCTTAAAACGATTACATTTTGCTAAAATATTATATAATGGAAATGTACATTTGATACAACAATCCATGTTTTTGTTGTTCACTATTACCAACCTTTGGAACCAAACAAGAGACAAGATTTCATAATAAACTTCTGAATGTATAGAAAAAAGGCTTTACAATCCTGTACACCAGTTGCATAACTAACTTATATGCGGTTTTAATGTATTACAAAACAATACATTGTATTTGACAATAGAGAACTTGGCCAGTAAAGCTTAATCAAAAAAATAACATTTAAAGTAATGCTTGCTATCTTTATTAGGTGTTCTGGGCTAATTCTTTCTTATATTATTTTCTTCTTGAACTTGTATTGGGCTACACTGTGACAATCCTGCTGGAGCTATGCAGCTAGTGTACTTGATTTCTCCTTTATTCATAAACACAATAAAGAATACACAAAATATAGAAAATGTTGCATGGAACATTGCGTTGCCATCGTGCCAGTTGATGTATAGTGTTTCTAAATAAAGGTGGTAATCATTGGTACATTTGTGTGGGATGTTTACCTAACATCGTAAAGCTTATCTCCTAATATGCCTCTCATTCGTATTAATTTTTCCAAATTAACCATTGCGCCCCCACCTAATGTATGTTACTGATACATATGTATATTGTTCGCTTAATATCACGATTCTATCATTTCATTTCTATTTGCTTGCTTCCCACGGTGTAGATTTGCCACCACGCCATGGCTAAGGTATCACTCCCGCCGGGGTTTACGTGGAAGGATGTTAACAAGAAAGTAAAAATTAAATGCCAGATTAAAAATAAATGCAACGTGAGTCACACTATAATTACATTCAGTAAACTAACTCAGTACTTTGGTATAGCGGCGTCGCACTCGTAGAGCTCGCTGCGCGGGCCCGCGTGCGGCGCCGCGCGAGCGCCACTGACCGGCCTCTGTTACAGCGGGACCCGCGCGACTGCCTGCCCGACGCCGACCGCAGCCTGCTCGACCTGCCCGACCCCGCAGGTATGTATCGTCGGCTGCAAGCTCGCCGACCAAACACGGCAATCCCGTATGATCTTTTAAATTAACATAAATTTGTCTACTGAGCCGAATAAAGTGTGTTATAAATTAACTTTTGTAAAACGGCGGCGTTGTATGTGAAGGTCCGCCAACGCTCGCCACGTCGGCGCTGCACGCCTTGGACCTACAGTTCTGCGCTCAAGGCAAGTCGACACGTCCCTCGTCATCCTTACAGAGTTTATTTATGTTTGGCTTCCGCATTCCTTTTCATATCATACGGGCACAAACAAACACAGCGACTTTATGTTTCTCCCATCCTTAAAATGCTTTGGTAACTTGTCGGCAGAGGCCTTTTCATTATGACCTTGCTTGGGCCATTTGACAATACCATCTTTATTTTTGTATGTAAACTAGAGTTTAGTGCATTGGCTACCAGTGCACTCTTTGCTGAACATGTCTACCTTCGTTTTGTATTTGTTGTTAATTATTTTAATCATAGCTTCTTGTAAGTTTTTCTATACCTTTTCATGTGACCTTCTGTGTGATGTCATTACACATTCCCTTTTTTTACGAACTTATTGAAAGTGAATTTTGTTAAAACACATTATTAACCTCTATTCAACAATAATATTCCAATGTTTACTAACCTTCACCAATACACTCTAATACGAAAATCCCAGGACAGAATGTTTTTAACAGTTCTGATGACACTACCTGTGTCATTTCATATTAGTAAAATAATAGTGATGAATATGGAGCAGGTAAGTGGTTGAGTGAGTAGTGCAGTAGGAGTGTAGGAGTGGTATAGAGTGCAGCAGTGTGACGTGCGTCCTTGTGCAGGTGTGACGACGGTGCACCCCCCCACGACGCCCCCCTACCCGCCCCCGCAGCAGTTGTTCCCAGTGCAGCAGCTCGCCACCAACCTCAACCAGGTGCGTGGACATGTAACTAGAATAAGGGTACAATGAAATACAATTCTGTTCTAAACTGCATATATGATTTACAGCTCGTGCATTTCATTAATGTTTCAAAGTTTGTCGAGTACTTGTTTTGTTAGATACGTATGGATTAAGGAACGTTTTCGTATACTATACTACAAATATTAAACGCGTTGAATATTATAGAACACTCCGATACAAGAGCGACCGCGCGCGAAGGTTTCACGTAAATGCTCCAAGTTCGGTTGCAAGTTCCTACTGCTGGACGCGTTGCAACGGCTCGGCCAGCACATTAGTGAAGTGGGTGCCGTCGCGGTAATCTTCGCGAGTTGTTTATGATCTCAATAGACGATACGATACTGTTCATTATTAATGTACTACGTATTCATAGTGATTGGTACTGCTTTAGTTGTAACTTCGTATGTGTATTAGATAGATTTGAGTTATTTAACTTGTTGTTTCCATGTAAGTTTAGACTAGAAAAATATTGAAGTATTGTTATCGATATGGCTTTAATTGTACATGAATTGATTTGATCATCGTTTTCCAGCACCAACTGCAGGAGTTGCAACAACAGCAATTCCAGCAGCTAGCTGTACAACAACAGCAACAGCACCAGCAGCAACAGCATCAGCAGCAACAACAGAAGAAGCAACAGCAGCAACAACAGCAGCTGTACGTGCAAGAGTTGCAGCAGAGGCCTGAAGCTTTCGCGGCGCAGGTAAGATCGCTGGGACCGTAGCGGGTGGGTGGTGCCGAGGGTGGCGTGTTGTATGGACCGTCGTGGTGGCAGTTGGTGGAGGCGGCGGAGGGCGCGGGCGCGGAGGCGGCGGGCGTGGAGGCGCGCGAGCTGGGCGCCGTGCTGGCCTACCTGCAGCGCGAGGTGCCGTCGCTGGTGGCGCTGCCGCCCAACGAGCTGCGCTCGCTCGTGCTGCAGGTACGCCCCGCGCCGCACCACTACTAACTACTGCATGCTCCGCTCACTATTACATCATTGCATCCTAATCTTTCTTGTGTAACGCTGTGATGTCCCTGTTACTACTACGTGGATTGCTTTCTTCGGACATGACACGATTCGGTCGCCGAATATGAAATGAGTAAATTTAGTGATATGTGAATGATACCGACCGAAACGATTAGTATTGTGCATGATCGGGATTTATTCTTTGAGTGATACATGCACGGTGCAGGTGATGCAGCAGAAGTCGCACGAGATCCTGTCGTCGAAGTGCGCGGAGGCGGAGGCGGAGCGCGGCGACGCGGACGACGACGGCCACGAGCGCCACGCGCGCAGGCTGCTGGAGGAGGCGCTGAGCGCGGACGGGCCGCGCCAGGACCACCACCATCACCACCACCACCACCACCACCACGTCGACGTCACGGTATGCCATCCTCTACACTCTGCGATTCGTTCCGCCTTGTACCATGGAACATTGAAATAAGCAAAGTTATATTGATTCTTATTCTTTGCTTTATGTGCATATTCATTTTATTGATTGACATATAAATTTCATTTAACTGACGAAACATAGAATGGTCATGATAGTTTTTGGGCTTGTTGTATCTGCATGTTTGGTTTTAATACTTTAACATTTTATAACTGACAAATTATTGTATGCAATTGATGTTTCTTTGAAATATTAACTATTGCTCTTGTCACTTTAGATTATTTTAAAATAAGGGTTTAAGCTCTTTTTGTTTTAACATGAATAATGTTTGGTGGCAATATTTCATAATAATTATTTAATCGACATTTCACTTTCATTCAAAGTTCTGTTTATTAGACATTTAAATTTAAAATGAATCATTAGCAAATAGGTTGTGGGCTTCTTGTGGTTCGTCATGTGCTCTGATGGCTTATTTAGATTACTTATTCTTTGTTAATTTCATTCTTTTATATATCATTTATTAATAGGTAATTAATTTCGTGTTAAAACATTTTTATTTTATTTTCTATATAATTTGTAGTGTTGTGTACGACGTAATGGCTAAACATGACTTTCATAATATCTTGCGTGCACTCTGTATTTAATATTCATGTACATAAATAAATAAACATCGTTTCAATCTATGTATATATAAAAGAAAGTCGTGTTAGTTACATTATTTATAACTCAAGAACGGCTACATCGATTTGGATGAAAATTGGTGGGGTAGAGCCAGGAGGCCGACATAGGATACTTTTTAACCAAAATTTTTTTTTTACTTTTTCCGAAAATCAAGAACGGGAACGGGAAATATCGGGGTTGCGCGTACGAAGTCGCGGGCAGAAGCTGGTTAATAATAATGATTCATCTAAAAATATTATTCTACTATTTTAGGCCAGCAACGGATGCCAGTTCAGACTACGACCGTCGTCTCCCTCGGGGAAACTCGAGAGTGGCATAATCCTAACGCGGGCCGACAACGACATATTGACAATACCTCAATCGTCTTCTCAACCTCAACCGCAGCAGCAACCTCACGCTCAGCCTGATCTCCAACCACATTTCGCACTGCCTCCACCGACGCTGCCCTATGAAGACTATAGGTAACATAGGCCGCTCTCTGCAAGTCAATGACTACAAGGTTGTCTGTATGAATGAGTGCTCAATGATGGGTCGGTGGCAGGTCGGCGACGTTCGCGGCGTACCACGCGGGTTTCGCGGCGAGCGCCGCGGTGGGCGGCGCGGCGCACGCGGCGCACGGCCCTCCTCACGCCGCGCACGGCCCGCCCCACGCCGCGCACGGCCCGCCGCACGCCACGCCGCAGCCCGCGCCGCACTCCAAGCGGGACCAGCACCACCACTCCACCGCCAAGAAGAAGGTACGTATCATTATTTCAACATATCTCTTGTCATTATTCTATATGCACACTTGTTAAATTGCTCATATGACTTGTTATATAAATGGACATAATGCAATTGTTTCAGAATCGCTTCGCGGGTACGGGTAGAGGCTGCCGGTCGGGCGAGGCGTTCGGCACGGCGACTCCCCCCGCGCCCGCGCCGGCCGCCTACTGTGCCATGGACGTGGACGGAGAGACCGACTCCAACCATGACACGGCGCTGACGCTGGCCTGTGCCGGGGGACACGAGGACCTCGTCGAGCTACTGCTCAGTCGGGGTGCGGATATCGAACACCGGGACAAGAAGGTACCCACTTCATTTTTGACTGCACTGTTGGTGCGGTGGCTGGGCAACCGGCTGCCGTGCAACGTGCCGCGGGTTCGATTCCCGCACGGAACAACACTTTGTGTGATCCACAAATTGTTGTTCTGGGTCTGGGTGTCATGTGTGTGAACTTGAATGTTTGTAGACGCACCCACGACAAGAGACAATCCTAGTGTGGGGCAACGTTTTATATAAAAAAAAATATATTTTATTTTACTTTGAAGTAGTCATAATGTAATTATGATGAATTATGACGTTCCATTACAATTGACTAAAGTTCCCAACGCTCCTCTATGAGTTGGCTTCAGCTCCTTGTAAGTCTTCCAAAAGCCCGGGACCCTGTGGTCCCGTGAAAGAAAAATGAAAATACTAATCGTAATGTGTCTCTTTAGGGCTTCACACCGCTAATTCTAGCGGCGACTGCCGGTCACGAGAAGATCGTGGAAATTCTTTTGAACCACGGTGCAGATATCGAAGCACAGTCGGAGCGAACAAAAGACACTCCGCTGTCGCTGGCGTGTAGCGGCGGGCGATACGAGGTCGTGGAGCTCATCCTCAGCCGCGGCGCCAACAAGGAGCATCGGAACGTCTCCGACTACACCCCCCTCTCCCTCGCCGCCAGTGGTGGATATGTAAACATCATCAGATTACTGCTCACTCATCAGGTATGTTCTCTTCACAAATCCACTTATTATTAATGTTTCACAGATACTATTACCTTGTATTTGCTTAGTTACAGAAATTCATGTAATACTTGGTGGTTTCAGGCCGAAATCAATTCTCGAACTGGTTCGAAACTAGGTATTTCCCCTCTTATGTTGGCTGCTATGAACGGGCACACGGCCGCCGTGCGCCTTTTGTTGGACTGCGGCTCTGATATCAACGCGCAGATAGAGACCAACCGGAACACCGCTCTCACCCTCGCCTGCTTCCAAGGTATGGATCGTCCCGCTGAAGTAATGTAATGTGCTTATTTTATTTTGACATTACAGGATACAGAGAAGTGTTACAGTAGGTTTTAAACAAGTTTGTAAACTATTAATTAACTAACTAAGTTGTAGAAAAACGAAGGTACTAAATGAACAGCTGTATATAAATAAATATATCCCAGTACGTACTACACATTGATATGAAACATTAATATAATTTATAAAAGTACATTGTATATAAAGTTCGTGAAGAGTAGACGTAGGGTGGGAGCGGTAATAAGATGGCGTGTGGGCGCAGGTCGGCACGAGGTGGTGAGCCTGCTCCTGGACCGCAAGGCCAACGTGGAGCACCGCGCCAAGACGGGGCTGACGCCGCTCATGGAGGCGGCCAGCGGCGGCTACGTGGAGGTGGGCCGCGTGCTGCTGGACAAGGGCGCCGACGTCAACGCGCCGCCCGTGCCGTCCTCGCGCGACACCGCGCTCACCATCGCCGCCGACAAGGGACACACCAAGTTTGTGGAGCTCCTGCTGCAAGGTACACTAGCTTCGTCTATCCAACCATTCATAACTTTGCGTGTATTCAAATGTGTTCCCTGACTAAATTGCATATTTTGTTACAGGCGAGCGGCGGTTGAAGTTAAAAACAAAAAAGGCAACTCTCCTCTATGGTTGGCGGCAAACGGAGGACATCTCGCGGTGGTCGAGATGTTGTACGCTGCCGGCGCAGACATTGACTCACAGGACAATAGAAAAGTATGAACAACATGCTCTCAAAAGACAAGCGCGTTCGCTTAAGGCACCAATAAATAAAGACCGTGTTCATTAACTATCTTGTTTTTACGTTTAGGTATCATGCTTAATGGCTGCATTCCGAAAAGGCCATACTAAAGTGGTTAAATGGATGGTTGGCGTAGTGACGCAGTTCCCCTCAGATCAAGAAATGACAAGGTACGCTAAGGTTTCTGAGATACATTATAATAGTGTAACAATAGAGTGAGATTAAAAACGAAGACATTCGCAGGTACATCTGTACAATCTCGGACAAGGAACTACTGGAGAAGTGCCAGGAGTGCGTGCGAGTGATCCGCGCGGCCAAGGAGACGCAGGCGGCGCGCGCCAACCAGAACGCCACCATCCTGCTCGAGGAACTCGACGCCGAGCGCTGCCGCGAGGAGTCGAGGCGACAGGCTGCTGCAAGACGTCGCGAGCGGAAGAAGAAGAAGAAGCTAGAGAAGAAGGTACCTCACTCCCACCACTTATTTGTTAGCTCCAACACTCTATACTGTCATACTCTTATGCACACCTCCTCCCACATTAATCAGATCCAATAATAAATTTGAAATCGAATTTAACGCTCGTCGATCTGAATACAAACATAGTTAATTTTTTCATTGTTTGTTATATTCGAGTGTTGTAAATATAATAATAAGAGGTCGTTAAAAGGGCAGCTTTACAAAACGGTTTAGTCTTGCATGCAGGAAGAACGGCGTAAGCTGCAAGCTGAAAATGACAAGAACTCTATGTATTGTGACAAGGCTCTGGGCGAGTGCTCCGAGGGCGGGGAACCAGACGACGAACCTGTCGCCAAGGAAGAAGGAGACTCGGGCATTGATGCAAACTCACAGGTAACGGCAACTATCATAATATTTAATTATAAGGTACTCTTAATTTTGTAGCAAAATTATTTTAAAAATGACGTATGTAATTTTTCTTGTAGGGTTCCTGTTCGTCTTCCGACGTAAAAGCTCCGCCAGTTCAAACTACTAAGTCTAAAAAGAAAAAGAAAGAAGAGAAGGCAGCTCCCGCTCCACCTGCACCACCTGCCAAGAAACAACCAGATAAAGTAAGTAACAATAAACTAAACTTATATTGACTATAAATGAATATTATTCAGTTTTATTTTTCGTCTATGTTTTAGTGCCTAATTAACATATTTTTTTCGCAGAGCAAACCTAAATTAGAGCCAAAACCAGAGAAAGAAAGTACCCCGAAACCTGACAAGAAGCAGGAGAAAGAGAACGTAGCTCCGAGCTCTCCTCCCGCCACCCCAGTAAAGCCCACGCCGCCGCCTGAACGACGCCCGGCTGACAAGAAGGACAACAAGTTAGTATACTTATCACGCGATCTGGCCTTCCTAGCTTCCTATATCTATGCTGACGTTGATACTGAATGAATATGCTGAGATATCAAAGTACCAGTGACGATATAAGCCCTTACTTAAATAAAAGAAAATCTCAATAATCGTTTTCAATCAGTACATCAGTCCGCATTTTATGCATGTGTTTTACATTTTGAGTGAATGATAATTTGATTGATAAAATGCTTAATAATTTTTGTTCTTACTAGCTATTACATTCTTATCATTATGTAAGACCACAATAGCAATTTAGATGAAAGTTTATCACAGAAACAGTATCCAAAAGGGGGGCTTAAAGTAGTAAATATTGTTCTTGCAGAAAACCTGAAGAGGAAAGCCCTAAGAGCATTACAGTACAGAATGTTAACAAATATGGGAATAACTCTAGAAAGAGTCAAGTATTCGAATCCACTAGGCACATTGTGGAAAAAGACGATCTTGACACAAGCGACAAAAATAAAAAGACGCACAACATGCATCAGTAAGTTCGATCACCATGTAAACGTATCGCGCCACCATTCAATGAACACAAAATCAGTGTCAAACATATTATATTATCCCTCTATATTCTCGCGATCCCTGCATGTCCTGACGCGGCCTCGTGTATTTGTTTTGTTATATACTTGGTCATTGATTTTCGGACTCTGCTTATTTATGTTTGGGGTTGTTGCATTTCGAGTGATGAATCTGAGGCTTAATTTGATATCTGCCTAATTTACCTAATAATAAATTATTTTCCGATCAACTCACTTGAACTCACCAATGAATCATGAGTTAGACGTAAGCAGTAAGCACTATATCTGCAAGGTTTTTAGACGAATTCTTGAAGGAAGACTTAACAAATTAAATAATACCAACCCTAAGCTCATAATATTCAATTTATTAACATAAAGTATTTGATCTAATTAAATAGTAATTCAACCATTTTCGATTCCATTAAACACTTGTATACACGAAACAACAAACAACGTTATTTTGTTATGGTTATTTCTCTTCTAATTCTGTATTGCCTATAATAGATGGGAGACGGAAGGCAAGAGCACGTCTCCTAAAGGCGGTTGCGTCGGCGGACGCCGCGAGGAGGGCTGGAAGGAGGTCGTACGCAAGTCCAGTGTACAAACGCTCTCTACTGTGGAACCTGGGTATGTAACCTAACCTAACCATTTCATACAATCATGTTCCCCTATACTGTTTTTCTTCGAGGGGGATGCCGTCTTTTCCTTTTGCGAAGCAGTCATGCTAGTCATAAGGAGGAGGCGGGACGCGTGAGGCAGCGAAGCGCTGCCTCCTCGCAACCCAGACATCGCGAAGGACACACCGGGCGTCGGGGATCGCGGGACGATCTCCGGCCACCGTAAGCGCGGGACTGCGGACGGCGAGCATGGGTGGCTCCCCGTCCGACCAGAAACAGACCCGAGCGTACGGCGCGTTGCGTTCCGCGCACGCCTCAAAGAGCCATCAGACCACCACAGATGGGGCCCAATAGGGCCGATGCCGATTCGGAGTCGCGGAGAACCAAACGGGTAACCGGGGCTCCGGCTCGACGTGCAGGAGAAGGAACGGGGTGTTTTTTAGTCGCCCCCTCCCGCCTCACCTAGGCGGGAGCAGTAATTCGATGATTTTACCCCTTCAAAAAAAATACTGTTTTTCTTGAGAGGTAACTTAAATTAAGTTTACCATAATAAAGTTACTAACATCACAGTGTTATTGTTACAGTTGCAAGAAAGTGTCAGTGGCGTCCCACGCAATCTCTCGAGTTATTGGGCGTGCGGGAAGTAACATCAACGCCATTAGATCTGCTACGGGCGCTCATATTGAAGTGGACAAGCAGTGCAAAGGACAGGGCGAGCGTATCATCACTATTAAGTGAGTTTTCTGGAATATTGTAATAAACACTATAGTTTGTGGTATTTATAGAAGCTTTAAGTTGATTGAATAATATTTTTTCTCTATCTTTTTATTACAGGGGCTCAGCGGAAGCGACTAAACAAGCGGGTATGTTAATCGCGGCGATGATCCGCGACCCCGAGGCGGACATTGTACAACTCCTACCGCGCGCCACTGCCAAGCCTGCGCCGCAGCCGTTACCACTGCAGCCCAAGACGCCCAAGCAGCCACCGCCCAAGGTATTTTTTAATGCTTATTCAATTTTATTCATGATAGTAAAGTAACCATCTACGTATAAATAACCTGTGCGTGTCCATTACTTGTAATATAACTGTGTGTCTGTCCGCAGCAGGCCGGCGCGAGCAGCAGTGCTGCGGCCAGCAGCCGGGCGCCGGCCGCCGCGCGCGCGCCCGCCAAGCTGCACGTCCGGCCCGCGCCGCCGCGCCTGTGTCACTGTCAGTATCACTTCTGTACACATACTCTATCGGCACTCAATTTTAAGATACTCAACAATGGTTCTCTCCCTACAAATTCTTTATAAAATAACAGAGATGACATGATATTTAGGTACGACTTAAAATTGAGTAGCATTTCAGTATCCTAACACTCGGATACTGAAATGCTACTCAATTTTAAGTACCTATCAGTATATAAGAGATTCTCTCAATATCTTGAATCGAATAAATAAGTAAAATCTTTGTAACTGATTCACCACTGGAATCGATGAATAGGTGATTTTATAATGTAAACGTTGTTTGGTTCGACAGCGGTGACGAGTACGGAGAAGCGCGTAGCGACGTCGAGTGGGTCGGCAGTGAGCGCGGCGGGCCCCGGCAAGGGACCGGCGCGCTCTCGTACACCGGCGCCATCGTCGGCGCGCGCACGCACACCTTCGCCGCCAAGCTCACCGCCGCGCCCGCGCCCGCGCCTCCCCCGCCCGCCGACGCCAAACCCAGGCCGCCGCCACAGGTACATATACTTGTATCACCACACTTTTACCTCTGTCTATATACAAAGAATAACTAAATGGAACGAGTGTGTCGTGCAGCCCCCGAGCGGCCCCAGCAGTAGCCCGGGCGCGGGGCCGGCCACGAGCGCGGTGTCGCCGCAGAAGACGCGCGAGGCGTCCCCGGGCCGGCCGCGCCCGCGCCGCCACACAAGCCCGACGACAGCGACAAGCAGCACCGTCTGCCTGACCGCACCGTGCAGGTACATTCACACTACTACACCAACTTGCCTATGTTCTCCACAAACCACTACCTACATTCTAACTATACAATGTTGCTTCCAGCTAAGCCCTGATAATTCAAACTCGTGGAGTGCTAACGAGGAACCTACACCGAACACCTCCACAGCACTACATATTAATACCACACCCCAAGTAAGTAACTATACTTGAATACCACGACTTATTCCTGTATGTGAAGAATAACATTTTTATTTTTTTCTGGCATTAAATTGTTGTGGAATTAGTTTGTATTGGGAAATTATTTTAGTAGATAAAACAAAACTCTCTAAAACAGTTGTTCAATCAAGAATTAGATGATTAGGGTTGTAAACAGTGGCCCCTTATAGTTGAATGAGGGCTGATGTTATTGTTCAGAGGGATTATAATGCTTTTTATTACGACCAAACTATAAAACCTGATTGACATAGAAAGAGTATATTTACTGTTAGTGTTTGAAGTTGTTATGTAGTACTAATAAAATCATGTTAAAATACTGCCTCGTTGGCCGAGTGGTCGCAAGTGCGACTGCCGGGCAAGGGGTCTCGGGTTCGATTCCCGGGACGGGCAAAGTATTACTGGGTTTTTAAAAATTCTCAATAGTAGCACGGAGTCTGGAATTGTGCCCTATTATATGGGATTCATAACATAAATAGTGAAAAATGGGTGTTACATTGTACAGTGGCATAATGTGCTCCTCTGAGCGCGCAATATGTAAAGTAAAATATACGTGCCCCAGGCGACGAGTCGCGCAGGCGGGCAGGAGTACTCGCTGTTCAAGGACGTGTCGGGCGGCGCGGCCGTGTGGGGCGCCGCCGGGGACAACCACCACAACGTCGAGCCCCCGCCGCCGCAGGTCACTCACTTCAATATGGTAACTACTTCTGTTTTACGGCCTTCTTATACTACGTTTCCAAGCAATGATGTATTCATTGCTTGGAAACGTTATTTGACTCCGTTATCATGATTAGAAAGACTTCTCAACATTTTTCTACTATTCCAACATTTTCTGACAGAAAAATGTTGAACGCAAATCCTCATCTATCGTGGCCCATATATCTTCCATGGTGTTCAACGTGTTGAAGTCGATGGACTACAGATTTTTAGTTATTGTGGATTTTTTTTTATTTATGACTACTGGAAACCGATTATTGCAAGTTAAATTAGTTTGCGTTCGTGGATTATCTGCAAATGTTGACAAGTCCGGGTGCGCAGGTGGACGCGAGCAAGGCGCCGGGCTACCGCGGCGGCGGCGGCGCGGGCGGCGGCGTGTCGCCCTGCTCGCGCACGTCGTCGCACGGCAGCACGCCGCCGCCCGCATACGCGCAGCCCTCCTACCACCAGCCCATGCCCATCGGGAACCACGCCGCGCACGGTAACTATGCCCCATACTTACGTCTACTTACGCTCGTCACTAAGAAGCAGGCAGTAACTACAGAACGCCGTCCCCTACTTACCATTTCTTGATAATACTGTGAGCACTGCATATTTGGATTTACTCGAGCGTCGTAAGGACCTAATGGATTTTGAAGACATGCTGATAAACAGAAAAAATGGTTTAGTGACTTCCACCGGTAGGGGAAAGGGGCAATCTTCTTCAATCTTTGAAATTGTCACACATAACTTTTGTTCTAGTGGTCGAGCGTGTCAGATATTGATAATGTACATGCTCCATGTGTCTTTGATAATGAAAAAGTCTTAATCTGGCAGTTTGCATGATGGGGTTTAATATTCTGGAAACGAAAAATCTTCAAAAGCCCCACCCTTGAAAATCATGCTCGATTGGGTAGATTTTTTATACGCACTTTCTTAAGCATGCTATCGACCTCTCTTCACTGAATCAGATGAAACTAACTTATTTAGTCAGATTTATTTTTTAGTCCTCCCTTTTAATCAGGTCGAATATATGGTGGGTATATTCAACATGACACTAAGTTTTCTCCATATATTAATCTGACGCGCTCGAGTAACTACCAAAATCCTTTCATGGGCTCCCCCTACTATAGTTATGTAAGTCATATCCCAGCTTGGCCCAGGCCCATGATTATACTCTTACCTAGAAAATAATAGTTTCTAATTTATATATCCTATGAACTTAAAACTTACATCGATATTAACTCACATTTTAGGTAACAACGTGAATACAATGGACATGAGCGGACTTTCCCGGAATGGACCTATTTATCAAGACAACTCCAGAAATGGCCACAATATGATGGTAAAATATTATATAAAAATTGTATAATTCTATAAATACTGAACTTAAACTCTTTGCACTTGGGAACTTGGTAATTTGTAAATAATATTAGCAAAGTATATAAATTGGCACCTATAACACCCGCAGCAACAAGTGTCGATGTCGAGCGGAGTGAACATGAGTGGCGCAGCGCTGGGGCTGGGCTACGTGGGCGTGGAGTCCGTGTCCAGGCTCAACCCGCGCGCGCCCGACTTCGCGCAGAGACACCCTCTCATGCAGCAGAAGCATAACGCACAGGTATCAATTCATTGCAATTTGTTGCGTTCATACTTGATTCTATTTTTTATATATCGTAAACAACGAATCGCGTAAAAATTCAGAATATTATAAATATTTTCAATATTTTATCAAAATACGTTATTTGGAATGAGTTTTATTTTGATGTAATCTAATTAGTTGCTTTCTCGTCGGCAGTTGTTCGCGGGCACTAGCAACGCGGGCAACCTGAGCGCGCTGCTGATGTCGTACCAGCAGCAACAGGCCATGCCGCAGTCTCCCAAGCCCATGCAGCACGCGCCGCAACCGCACCACGCCTACCAGGTCACTACATACACGGCGCCCTGTACTCCACACACACGCCCACACATCGATCTATGCTAAACCAGCAGCTGTAGCCAAATGCCATTTAGCGCTTGTCTACTTGTACAATAGAAAACCAAATACATTTTGATTTCTACTGTCTCTGCAGACAAGCGCTAAAGCGGCGTGTTGCTAAAGGCCCAGTTTATCCTGGTGTCGCTTCGCATTATCTTTCCGCACATTGAACGTTCAGTTTATACTAGTTATGTAAAGCTCGATGTGTAGCCGTGTGTACATCTTCTACTGTCTTGTATGGCTTCAATGTGAAATATTTATAACAAACCGTTGCCTAGCAACCATTGACAGAGGCAGATATTTCTTCAATGAATAGGATTCTATTGTATGGGACCCTGTTAATTTAGACTGGATTGACATGTGAAATAACATGTTACTTAGGGTTTACGAATATTGAATACAAAGTTTGACCTAAGTATATTGTAAGTAGTCAAAGCTAACATTACGTTCTGTGCGCAGTCCTACTAGAGCGCGGGGTCGGAGTGAGCTCAGGCGGCTGGGGCGAGGAAGAGGAGCGCAAGCCGCGACCCATTGGCACCGAGCGCGCCTGGAAGCTCACCGCGGCCGAGGACTGGGGACACGCGCACGTGCACCATCAGCTCGCCGAGCCCGAGCGCTACGGCGCCATGGGCCACGCCGGCCACGCGCTGGACGGCGCGTACGGCGGCGTGGGCAGCGTGGGCGGCGGCGCCACGGCCGCGGCGCTGTCGCTGATGCACACGCTGCCGCTGCACTACCTGCCGCCCGTGGCGGCGCCCGAGCCGCCGCCGCACTGGGACCCGGCGCACGCCGCCGACAAGCAGGTACCTGGCCCGCGCCGCTACTGACGCCGCGTCCGCTGCACTCCGACCTCACCTTTGTCGCTTGTCGCCAGGCTTGGAGCAAGTGGACTCACTAGAGCCGCCCGGGGGACCCGAGGCCGCGCCGCCGCGTCCGCCCCAGCCCCACAGGATTATATATAATTGTAACCCTTGGAAACGGTGTAGATATTAGTGAGAAAGAATTATATTATACAGATTATCTATATACATAATAGAGAAGATGTCCTATCGAGAAGAGAACTACTTATACTGTACGATCGACTGAAGTGAGCATTAAACGATTCATTATAATGAAACTCGTGAGGGGAGTCGGATGTAGTTTTATTTGTTACTGCCGCTCGCCGGTCGCGACGTTACGTTTAGACGAATTATAGTTATGTTATAGTCGGCGTCGCCGTTTCATCTGATGTAGATATACGCGTAAACGAATGTAATAGTAGGTAGCTTGGAATGTGATTCCGAAGTGCCGCTGAGTGTTTTGAGTTGCCTTGCGAGCGGTCGCCGCCCGCCGTCTATTATACATATTTTACACTATATTATGGCATAATGCGATATTATTTCGATGATTGGTACGCTCGAAAACCAAGGCGGAATATTAAACATGTATTAATAAATTTGCTTGTACATGAAGATTAAATATCGATATATTGATGCACTGTATCCACTGGTGTTTTTAATAATACCACCTGTTTTTCAATAAATTCTTTTTTTAATAGGTTTATTTGGGGAATGTGTATATTTATAAGTAAATTATTATTGAGGACTTACTTTGTCTCGAATATAATTAAAGCAAGATATGCGGTAAGTTCTAGGCAAATAAACCGTTGTCAATGTAACTTGCGTATGTTTTTGACTAGGGTCTAGCTTATATTATTATCAAGCACTCCTTGAAACTCATATTATTATATGATACAATATTGTTTGCAAAAGAATTTACTTTTTATTAAAACAATAATTGAGATTCATCATTCTTATTTACATTTATTATAATAATTACACTTAAAATATCTATGAACAACATACATTATGCATTCCTGATAATTAATTTCTGTATAACAGCACAACAAATGCTATGCTACATTTACTCAAACATAGGAATTTATTTTAAATGCATAGAAATTAAAACAATATTGTTACATCTATTTTGGCGAAGTGGAGAACACCGTTACAGCTCAGTATGACGTTCCAATATTTTGCTCTCGAGGTCAGCATGTAGCTTGGCAACTTTCAAGGAATGTTTCTTGATCATCTGCTCTTGTTCTTCAAAGTGGTTCATTTTGTCCCCGGCGCCAGCAATCTTCTATACATATAATAAAACTTTACAAGTGAAAATTCTGTGCATTGAAAAGATATTAAGAAAATAGTGGAGGGTACATGTTACTAGATAGACACTGAACTAAAAAATATGTTTAAAAATTTTATTATTTGTCTGTATCTGTTTCGTTCACGCATCACGCAAAAACTACCGGTCCGATTATGATTATACTTACTGGGTATCACAATGGGTACTTTTATCCCGAAAAAGTAAATAGAATAAAAAAGAAAGACTGAAAATAAAAAAACTTTATTTCACACGCTAAAACAGGTGACACATACAATTTTCCACATAAGTTTATAAATTAGATATTTATAAACTAATATCTAAGTCTGCGGTGAAATGCGACCAGTTTAGCATGTGCAAGACAGGGCCTCGCTCTGGTATTCTACTGGCACCTTAAGTGACAAACTTAATTGTGCGGCTTGATCCTTAGACCCAATTACCAAACGTAAATATATAAGTTTATCGAATGTTAGGCTGCTGGTAGTCGACCTTACGCTGCCACTGTAGGGCCGATGGTTGAAAATAGTGTTTTTGTGTTAGTGTGTATATTTCTTACACAGTCACATCAAAACGGCTGAAGGGAATCAGGATGAAATTTATAACAGAGGCAGAATATGGTCTGGTACTCCATGTGTACTTTTTACCACCGAGTACAGGGGTTATATCTTTGCATATAAAAATATTCATCAATCAACTTGTTTCTGAAATGAAAGTTCTGATTTGACATTTATTTCTACAAACCACTATTACATTGTAGATCTATTGGAATGTTATGTCTTTGGGTTTATAGATCAAAGTTAATTTCACAAATAATGTGACTGTGAGTAGTTGGTAGTGGTGTTTTGCAACCAATGAAAGTATTGATTTTTAAGAAAACCTTACATAATTACTAGCTGTTTCCCGCTAGCTGTTTTCTGTCTAAAAATGACTTCTGGTAGAATTTGGATTTTTTTATTTGTTTTTCCAAGGTTTATTCCAATGCTACATAGCAAATATATCAGAATCGATTCAGTACCTAAGTTAAATTTATTGTGAAATGAATTTATTTTCGTGATTTCACAATATTTGTTTTGAAAATCATCATATAGGATGTCCTTTCTCATATCTCAAACTATGATTGTACAAAATTGTACTCAAATAGGTTCACTGGTTTAAGCGTAACGCATAGTTTCGGTTTCGTTGAGTTTCCGGTATAGAACAATACGTGCTTTCGGGTGCAGAGTGTCTCAAACTATCGTGGAACCGAATTTCAATCAAAATTATTATGGCAAATAGTTACATATGATATCGCGCACTTTTTATGTCAATATAATTGCCAGCTATAAGACTCTCACTACTGTCAGTACATCCCTTGGCTCTATTTTCCGTAATTTCCACAGCGTAAGCAATACCAATAATATAAAGAGTTCTTTTGGTAGTTTTTCACACATTGGATTTACATTAAAGGGGACCGGCAAACTTTTATAGTTAATTTGGCCTTGACGGACTAAAATGAAATACTATGGGTTTGCAAGGACTAATATTAGTATTCAGTACTTTGTAGAAATTAATTTTTGATATGTTTTTAAAATGGGACAAGCCCGCTGCAACTCCTGTAAGTCAGGATCTACAGTAGATACAACCATGAAAACACCGGAACACTATTCATGGCGCGTCACAGGGACATGAATAACTATCTTGGTTCCCGCAACGAAGTGAATCAGAAGATATTATAAGAGGAGAAGAAAAAGCTATGGTTTCTCCTGCAGTAAATCACCGAGGGACTTCCCTCGGTGATTGAGACAGAATGGATTAAGCCTGAAGGCACAAAAAAGAGACTGTTGTTTTTGATATATGAAAAACTACGAATTTAAGTTACTCTTTAGACTGCTGTCAACCTTTTTGAAAAGCTTAATGATAATATCATCCAGACTCCTCCCGCCTTAGGTTAGGCGAGAGGGAGTGCTCTTACTGACTAAAAACCACCCCAACTACCCAACTACCCTACTACATACATAATATTACGATTTCTTTGTCTGTCTTTCACGACAGAACGGAGCTAGAAATTGATGTGATTTATTTTTGACTAGAGATGATTAAAAAGATAGACTATTTTTTGTGTCTTTCTAACCCCCCAATTCTTAAAATAGAAGAGTGTAAGATTGTATGGAGCATTTCGCAATTGTCAAGATAGAAAGCTTAAAATTGGTATACAGACTATTTGTGACCAGCAAAAAGTTATCTTTTGTAGACCTACCCCCCAATCCTTTAAAAGAACGCGAGTGAAGCAGTGGGCAAAACATAGTTCATGAATAAAATGTATTTAGTTCATTGAATTCATCTTAAAATCCGTGACCCTAATGCAGCTAAATAATAATGGAAACCCACCACATTTGCCTTCAACAATTTTCTATTGGTAGTATTTTTTGGTAGCTTTTCACACATCGATTATCGACATTTTCACACGGTTACTTTTCTCATTAAATATAGCCTATGTTCACCAGGCATAATGTAGGATTCAAATCGGTCCGGTAGTTTCGCAGCTGATTCAATCAAACAAACAAAATATCAAATCTTTCCTCTTTATAATACTAGATTATATTGTTAAATACAAAATTGAAATTGATGTGTCAGGAATTGGCCGTAAAATATGACTCTTTCCCTCATTACACAAAGTATTTTGATTAGACGGACTGTCTAATCAGGTCTCTTAGGTATAGGCGATTAAATTAATAATAATACAAAGGTCACTTTCGAACACTGCTATACAAAAGTATGGAACTAGTAATTTCTTTGGATTATACATTATAACTGAGATCATTATCCATGCCACAGTAAACTATAAAGTAACTTTAAAATTTATAAAGTTAGAATACAAGAGATTCAGTCACTAAGAGAGAATAAATTTTAATGATGTCTGTAATAACAACACATGTGTTGACTCACCAAACTTGCTTTCAAAATAGCATACATAGACACGCAGATTAAGATAATAATAGATAATATAAAAATATTACCTATTACTAAAAGAAAAAATAAAACATAAATAACCTGGTCCTTATGTTCCTCGCGATTGCTTATATTATTTGCTTGTAAGTGACGTAGCTTTAACAATCGCGACTCGTAGTGCTGCAGTTCCACCTGAGAATGAAGAACAACAAAGGGTTAGTATAAGAAAAAAAATGTTATAAGAAAATCATGTAAGTACTAACTATGTGCAAAAATGGTCGTCAAGACAAAACCAGAGCTGGTTTTGGTGATATATTTTTCAAAATAACTTCATATTTATTCAATTTTATTAATGCTAAATTACATGTTCAGTATTCACCAGTTAAGTTATTACGTCACATTTCCCAGAGGAATAAGTTACCTTCAATGAAGCCAGTTCTTCAGTAGTAAAGTTGGCTGCAACAGCCATTTTCCAGAGACCTTGCACTTTAGGTTCTATGAAGTCTTTATTGTTTGGAGCTGAAAAATAAATACAACAAGGTAAGTACAATTTTATTATACGTATTATTCTGTGCAAACCGATTTAAAAAAATGTAGGCCCGTGTTTTTCAACCTGTGGGTCGCGACCCCCTGGGGGGGGTTGCGAAGCTTCTGTAGAGGGGTCGGCGGAAGTCGAAAAAACTAGGTAACTAGTTTCTTCTTGCTCATGTATGTATAATTACTATGTAATTGTAAAATGTGTTTTTATATCCGATAAGTATGTACTTGTATCCGAATCCTCATCACGGAGACCATAAATACGTCGTACCTAATGAATATTGGTAATATTGTAAAATACACATACATACATGATAAAAAAATCGAAGGGTCAAAGGGGTCGCGAAATATTTTTTTATACCAGGGGGGTCGCATCATGAAAAAGGTTGAAAAACACTGATTTAGGCCAACCACTGCATAGGTTACTGTAAAATTTGTTATGGAAAACTTTGAGTTAATCTGCCTGAAACACCAATATAAGAATGTGATTTATTACAGCTGATCTGATGAATATTGGGTTTTTTATATTGAAATTCTCACAAATACTTAATGTTATAATTGGTAAAAATGCAGAATTTAAGATCGAGTTATTTTGAAATAAGTTTATACATAGTAACAGTCTTATAATGTGTCCTAAATATAACTTTTTTCACTGGTAGGGATCATAATGATAACCTCAATATTATCTAAATGCCTTTATGAGCTTCTATCACATTAATAAGTATTTAATTAAATAATTTTAATGGTATAGAATCAATCATGTAACTGATTTTACAGACTACGTAATTGGTGCAGTGCCTGGGCATTGTAACAGGCGCGCAGTGTCGCGGGTTCGATTCCAGAATGAAACAATGCGGCCAGTATCAACGTGTGTTAGTATGTGAAAATCTGTGCTACACACTCATGACAGGAGAAAACCCGTAGAACATTGGAAAATTCGTTTTACAAAAGCTTACCTTTAGCAACCACCCTCTGTAGCCTGTCATAGCCATCTCTCAAATCTCTATGCTTTTCTCTGATTAGATTAGCTTTATCAATGTAATCCTTTGTGTTTTCGTTTGTGTGTTCACTGATTTCATTGAATTTATCTAATTCATCTTCATTGATAATATCTGAAAATACAGAAGCAATCTTAACATATTTTTCATAACTCCAAAATATGTATCATTCCAAAATACATATCATATTTTACTACGTATCTAATGTTTTTGCTGTCAAATGATAAGAAGTAATTTTATAGAAAATCTTACTTTTAAATGCATCATCTTTGGGCGAGTCATCGGACAACAAGTCATAATACTGATCAATTTTCTCTTGGTGATGTGTTAACTCTTCTCGTAAAGCCAACAACTCTTCCATAGTGAATCCTGAAGCCTCTGCCTTTGTCCAGAGATAATTAAGTTTTTTATCTTTGAAGATACTCTTATTGATGTAGTCATCCATAGCAGAGTTGTAAGCCTACATAAAACAAATATTTTAGTACCGAAGTACCACATAGAGTTTTATGACTGTAACATCTATAAACCTGTTTTAATTTAAATCCTGTACCTTAGAATAATATAACATCTTCCAACTTACACATCAACAGCCTATTAATGCCCACTGCTGAGCAAAGCTCTTTCTCACATGGAGAATGTTTGAGTCGTTCATTCACTCAATGCAGATTGGCGTTTTCAAACTTATAATTATAAATTATATAAGCCTAGGTTTCCTCACAATGTTTTCCGTCAACATTTGTCAGTGTTGTCTGAACTCTAAATGATCTTAGAAAGTACATATAACTTGGAGAAAGTCACATTTGTGCTTACCATTGATAGGTTTCGAACCCACATCCTCATGTACGAGAAGTAGGCGTCTTAAGCTTCTCGTCACTATGACCTTAAATTTTCGAAATTGGTAATTGAACACTACACCTAAATGAATATATTATTGTATAGTAATGTTTCAATTACTTTGTCCTAATGTCCTACAGTCATGCCCAAGTAACAAGTAGGTATTATGAAAATTACAGCTGTGTTAATGTTTCATCTGTAAAAGCAATCTATTATGTGTACATACATTTTTATCTCAATGTGTTTATCAGCATTTTTTACATGTGTTTTTTTTAATCCATCTCATTATGATTAATTTATTACTTATCTGTTAACAATGAAGTTATGATTTGATAGCATTTCTTTTATTGAACAGTGTAATTATCATAAAATTGGTTATTTTTTCAAATTTGAATGTGTACTTACAGGATGGTCTTTCTCCTTAGGCGCATTAGGTTCAAAGTGATGCAGAAGTCCATAACTTGACATGATATTAGTTAATTTACGCCTTAGTTCTGCCTCTTTCAACCCTTCCTTATCACCTCCTTCACTTTTTACTCTCTTATATATTAGTTCTTCTTTGTCTTGGACCATCAAATCACTGTATAATGATTTCAGTTTAGGCTCTGTGAGGCGCTGCAACATATAGTTTTTTTAATATTAGTGAAAAATTGTATGTAATTGAGAAAAGTGCTCATAATCATATTATTAATTAAACTGTCAAACACCAAGCGGTCACCGGTGACTATAGATACGGTACTCGACGAGTTAAACTGTCAAACACAGAGCGGTCACCGGTGACCGCAACCTATTGTTCTTTAATTGTGTCTATAAATACGGTACACGACGATTTAATAATATTACTTTATTATAATTAATAAAAATAAAATCAATAACTAATTACCAGCTTTCAGAGCCAAGAAAAAGTAAACTACCCAAAAATTATAATTAATATTTTTTTTATATAATCAAATATTTAAAAATATATAAGTCAAGTATAGAAATAAATAAAGGAAATTAATAATATATACTGCATATGCAGTATACCTATGTGTATAATACATGACTGATACATTCTTTTAGAGTAGGCAAAGGTAGAAATGTTTATTGTAATAATTAATTTATATAGTAAAGATATGATTTCATGTGTATCAAGAAATAAATAATATTATTTACCTGTCGAGCTTTTGTCCACAATAAATTAAGTTTATTCATTCTATATGGTTTATCCAAACTTCTGAATTCTACATCAGATTTTTTCTTTTCATTTGCTGATCGTGAATATTTATTTTCACAAAAAACAGACGATACTAAGATTAAGAAACATAAACATGTTTGTGAATAAATATTCATTTTGCTGTAGATTTAATTTAATTTCAATAAATGAAATACTATAAATATAGTTATAGTTGCTATAAAGAAATAGCGGTAGCGGGAATCAAAAAATGACAACAGACGAAGCTGAAGCCGACACAACTCAATTTAATCAATGACACGACGTAGCTTAGTCATTGTGCCTGCCACAGACTACTAAGACAAAATGTTTTTTTTTTTGAGGGGGAAATCATCCAATCACTTCTCCCACCCGGGTGAGAAGAGAGTGTCAGACTCTTACTGATTAATAAAAACCACCCCGTTCCTACACCTGCACTTCGAGACCGAGCCCCGGCAAGTGGCAACTCATTAAGTTCTCCACGTTTCCGTATCTGCATCAGCTTTATATTGGGCCCCATCTTTGGTGCTCTGTATCTGTTGAGGCGCGCTTGGAACGCGTCGCGCCTTGCTCGGATTCGGTTCTGGTCGGGCGGCGAATCACCCGCGCTCACCGTCCTCAGGCCCATGCTTAGGGTGGCCGGAGATCGTCTCGCGATCGCGACCTACGCCTGGAGTGTCTCTCACGACGGCTGGGGCGTGAGGAGGTTCGTTTGCTCACACGCCCCGCCTCCTCCTTAGCTAGGAGGAGACGGCATCCCAGTCCCACTCGCTACATGATCTGAACCAGAGCCAGATGCGAAAGGTCGTCGTCGCCGATCACATCCCTAAGGACACGGCGGTACTCAGCCATGCTGGGCACATCGCCACCGTATGCGCCACCGTGTCCTCCGGCTCCGGACAGTACTCGCAATGTGACACCCGGACCCGGGCGTTTCCTTCCGCCCAATCCATAGATTCTTTAGGATCTTAGATTATAATTAAATCAGTGGCCCAATCCGATACATGAACCAGGTAAGCACCTGCGTCAACCGATAGGTGAGGACCAATGACTAAAGAAAGAAGATGATATCTCAGTATATAATATTGTATAGTCTATGAGATGATACGAACTGTGTAGATACTAAGTACAAAGTAGAAATAAACATGGTAGTCATTAGTGTAGTGACAAAACCACAGACTTAAAATAAATAAGGGTACCCAACATTACCTAAAATTTGTGAAGCCAAAAAAACACATGCGCAATTTATAACTTAAACAGGGCCTGAATAAGTTCGGAATTAGAAAATGTTATGTGTGTGTTACCGGAAACGTATGAGAATCCTATGAAATTTATATGATTCCGATTCTATACTACTATTTAGGAACTAAAAAATATACATAGTTTTAAAATTATTTAATACGTATGTATGTACTAAATAATTTTAATATCCTCATAATATAGAAAATGAAGTAGTAGTTAGTATTCGTGTGAATCTGTAAGTGGCTCATGTTACTATTTTTCTGATAAATCTGTATAATGTGGCTGTTGATTCACCATGTAATAAATAAAATGTATAAAATATTGCTTTTTAAAATAAAACACGTTGAAGAGAGAGAGTAATAATATTTATTAAAGCACTTGTTATGGTAAAGAATAGCAGGTAATAGTCATCTCCCTCCACTCAATAACACTTACCACTCCCAAGACAAGATCTTTCCTTGTCCTGTTAAATTTTGTTGTACATTCCTAAGCATTTCTGCAACTGTAGCCAAATGCACAGAGCATGTAATTATATTATATTATTGGCCAAATTCCATTCCATTCTTAGCGCTTGTAATACATGTAGATTAAAAAACTAAGATATTGGGATTGACGTAAAAGAGATTGCCCAAAATCAGTATCGCTATAGAAGATAACTGTATAGCCACAAAAATATACCCATAAATTATGAAATCTTTTTTAAATCAAAGAACATTAAAACCCCACAAAATAAATAGATATTTTTTATTTCCTTGGAAAATACGTCATCTCCCCTCTTTTATGTCAAATTTATGCTATCATACAACTTATTTTTATGCGCAACGGCGGTCCATAGAAGAATGGGCAATCTCCTTTTTACACTTGTCCACTGACAAGTGTCAAAATAGAGTAGAAAACTAAATGTATGGGGGTGACAGTGTCATCCCTATAGCTAAAGGAACAGGTAGGTATATGATGACATTATTTGATCATAATAGGCAATTGTAAAAAAAATATATACATAGTGGGTACATAATATAACAACTATATGGCAGCACGCGAAAATCTGGCTACCTACACGTCAATATTTTTCTATGTTGGAGCAGTGTGGCAAAAGGTAAAAGAACGAGACGCCATTATTAGGCTGGTGCTTGACAGAACAAGGACAAAGAATAATGGATATCATTATACGTATAACTAAGAATTTATGTTTGGTCTACTTATTGTAAGTCTATGGTAAAATTTAATCTTAAAAATATATGAAAAATAATTGCATAATTGAGTTTATATACGATTCTCGGTACGAATATTAAGTATATTTAATTTTATATGTGGTGTGCATGCTGAACAGTGTATAACAGTCTTTATTTTAGTCGTTCGAAAACTTTGTCATTACTCTTAGTTTTATAACAGTGAGAATGAAGTGACTTTTTAACGTTTCTATTTTGAAGTTCGTGTACTAGTGGTAGGTACCGTGAGTTTGTTGTTTGACAGATGTGAATGTGTATTGTCGTTTCCTAACGTAGACACCTTAATTTTGTTCATTTTATTTTTGTACAATGGCATTGCTTGTTTAACCGTGCTTGATTCTTGTCGTCCGTGATAACAATAATAAAAAACTCCTGCAATTGTATAATAGGCATTGTTTTCCATATAGTTTAGTAACCGTAAGCGCCCAGTCAGCACAATGGGAACTCAATAACAGTGAATATTCCCCACCTGAGGTCTGAGGCTGCATCTGTAACGCGTCCCCGAGCACGTACATTTGAGACTGACTATCGGCACTTTCTCTCGCTGATGCGTTGCGAGTCGGTTACTCAATACGGGTTGTGCAAAGACTGGTTGAAGTCGCAAAGTCGATGTCGATATTTCATAACGGTAGTACTTAATCTGTGAGGGTTGATGTCGGTCGTGCGAGGCTGAGAGTAGCTGGGCCAGTGTTTGATGTGTAATGTGTAAAAGTTTGGTGTGATGGTGGAACGCGAGGGTATGCGGCGCGGCAGCGGTGGCGGTTGTGGCTGGGGCGGCGGCGTGCTGGGCCGCTGGTCGCTGCGCCGCCTCCTGCTCGACAGCCCACTCGTGGGGAGGAGGCTTGCACACACAGGTATATCATTTATTTTATTATTTTGGAATAGATTCAACACAAATATAACTAAATATGTTTGGGTTTCTTGCCTCTAACATTAAGATTCTGATAAGAGTGAATTATTGGATATGTAAATTCTTATTAATGAATTAGAAGTGAGTATCAGGCCACTTAACAATAATAATTCTTGTTGTATTTCTATGAATTTATTGTAAGTATATCTTATCTGAGATAAATTGGAAGTGTTTAGCAAAAAAGTAGATATGTAGTTGAATATAATTATCACAATAATTACTATAAGAACACCTTATCAAACATTATCCACTTATTAAGGTATCTTTAGACTCTGTATTTTGTGATTGCGACATCACTATATCTTTCAGTTTCAGACAAAATACAATTTCTTAATTTTATGTTTCATTTTCCTTATTCTGCACAAGAACAATATGGACATATCATTGAGTTTCTCTGTTTACTGCCCAATAAATATGTATTATAAATGTGATAAACTCTACATTTATGCTGAACAATAATAAAATGACTGTGCAACACTATTTAAAACTTTACCTTGGCTCACATTGAAAAAAAAATCCCACTTTATTAGATGTAATTTTTGTGTTTTGATGATCACTATATTCATAGAATATGGTGTCCAGTTAAACTTTGTTACCATTACTATGTAGATACTTAAACTGTCAAACACCAAGCGGTCACCGGTGACCGCAACCTATTGTTCTTTAATTGTGTCTATAATGACGGTACTCAACGAGTTAATAGAAAGCATCATCATCACTTTTTTATGTTCAATTGATGTTTGACCACTTATGGCTCGAAATGTTAACATAACTATGTAAATATTATACATCAAACATCATGCCTACATATCCCACAAGTGTGTATTATTTTAGAACTTTTATAACTTGTTTTTATTATTATAATAGAGATCTTGAATACCACCAATTAGACAAGAAATTAATGCCATATATCTATTACAAACATTCCAAATTCTAAGCAGAAAAAGACAATACAAAATGTTTGAGCATTCATTTAATCAGTCATTGAAATCATTAAAGTTTTATGAGCATGACCAATTGAGGCATTGAATATAAAGGTCCCCAATAATATGGGTCAATGTTACACAGCCCCGCTAAACAGGAACATGACCTTTATTGCATAAATGGTGTACTTATATGTTCCATGCTATTCTTAGAACATAAAACTGACCTATTTGTCATATTATATAAAAATAATGTTAGATAACATGAATGTTATCATTTCCTCATTATGTATTATTTGTTTAGTGATTTCGAAACTGTTGCTCAACCTTATCTTTTATGTATCACTATTGATCTTAACATATAGTTTTCATGAATGTCCATTTTTTATAAAAACAGTCATGTACCTTCATTATAATTCTGTTTACATTTAATTTTTAAGTCGGATGATAAAAATATGTGCAATGTTTCATAAGGTTTATCTGACCTTTGATAAAACAGATTGCTTTCTGGAATAAATGCAACCCATTCAGTTAAACTTTCAATAAAATGATTCTGTGATTCAAAATTATTTAGCTAAGTAAGTATAGACTTTATATTTGCACAGTACTTAGCTGTATGTGTATTTTATCACTAAATCTTGGCTGTTTAAAAGAGGCAGTTGAAAAGATAATTATTAACTCAATAACATTGTAATCCAGTTATCTGCTGTGTACAGAAATGTTATTGATTTAACTAAAAATCATGGGTTTCTCACATGAATATACTGAAAAAGCTCTACTAGTATATTCACGTCAGTATTCCGCAAGTTTTAGTTAATTTAATGTCTCACGATAGTTATTATAAAAATGTTATTGACTGTAGATGGCTTTTTGTTTTTAAATGAAAAAAGGGAAATAATATTACATTACCTACCTATCCATTTCATTCATCAAACTAAAACTAAAGTTGTAGTAATTGTCGTAGAAGCCCTTTCCACACTTTCCACACTTTCCATTCATTCTATTTTGTATTCTGTTATGGACATGTGGTCTGAGTGTAACATACATTATTAGACAATTAAGCAAATAAATTAACAGTGACAATCACTTTCCCCAGAAAAGTATTCAATTTATTGATTCTTTTAAACTTTAAAGTTTTGATAAAAGACAGCCAATGTTTTGGCTGGCAAAGTACATAAAATCTTAAAAAATCTTAGTGTCTAAACAGTTGTGTAATCCAACTAGAAAGTGGTAGCTATGGACCACGAAAATACGTACGAATAAGTTCCTGGATGCCTAATTAAAAAATAATGTACAGATGGAAAAAATTGAGAAAATTCATAGTATTTTATTTCGTATTTTCAAAGTCAAAGATAACTTATTTCTTTAGACCAGGCACTTTTGAATGTCAACAAAAAATAATATTTGCTCATTCTAAGGTGATAATTCCTATTTATTTATCATTAAGCAGATACCTGAAGATGACACATTGGCACTATTCTGTTTAGTTAATAAAGTTGAGAAACGTCGGGTATTTCCTACAAAATCTTGAATAGTGTGGAAGTAGTCGTAAATATTTACTCATACATTAAAATTAACGTCTACCACGATACATTCTAGGTATACGACATAGCCAAAATCAGCCATGAAAACCTACATTTTTTTAAAGATACATTGACCCTTTCTGGGATTTTCTCATATGTCGTGGGTGCGTTTACAAACATACAAGGTCACATACACATGACACCCAGACCCGAGACAACAATTTTTGAATCACACGAAGGATTAATCGGTGCGGGAACCGAACCCGCTACACATTGCGTGCCAACCGTGTAGTCAACAGTCACATTTTAATCTAAATGACTTCTAGAATAATTTATTATGTTGATATGATACACCTACCTAATAGAAACAACTTAAACCATGAAACACATTTGCCATCGAGACTATTGTTAAAATTGAATGACTGTTTAATTTTATTTCAATAACAATCATCCATTCATTGAAAGAAAGGTTTCATTTCATGGGAAATGTAATTATTACAAACCAGCAATTATTTATAAAATATGCTACAATATTACAGTACGATAAAAATTACGCCTAATGTTCGTTTGACCATGACTTCTAACATATTAAAATACACCATTTTGTTTTTCATGACAACAAATCTTTGAATTAAATCAAAGTGTTGAGAAATTATTATGGCAGTACAAAGCACGTTATCCGAGTATCATGATAACAATGTTAGGGAATCTTTGTAAAAAGATTAATCGTTATCTCCGTATAAAAGCAGTGCTTTAATTTATTTATCCGGTTTTGTTTGTTCTAAACAAATAACGTACCGGAAGGGGAAAAAACCGTTATCATAAATATACTCTATCGAAATTCTGATAAATACCGACGATAACTTAATATGTATTACTAAATTCGAATCGGTTGTCTGGCCTAGAAGTTTCTATTACTGCCGTGTCGTCGGTGCTATGAAGTCGTAAAGATGACTAAATAACAGCTAGCAGTTGAACATCATTTAACTATTAAATCTTTTTAAACAGAGTTTCATGTTACCCTCTTTAAACAGTCGTATTGTTTTACTTATTCGTTTTATGCTTTATTAAGGTTCACGCAAACTAGCGGAATTCGTGAAATCTGATCGGCGAAGTCTTACCCATGATTGGCAATCTTGCATCGACAGTTCGAATCTTGTTTTATTTGCGTAGATGAAAGGAGACGGATCAGGCTTTGCAGCGACTCGAGATGTTAAGTTGCCTTTCATGGCAGTGAATCGTGGAGTTGCGCTGGTTACTTAACATGCAAATCGATAGTATTGACTCAAACTATTAAATTGTTCAAGTATAAAATGCAAAATGCTATAACGATAAGTTGTATAGGCCACCCACACAAATATTTTACCAGTTTGGTGTTGATTCCGTCTAGACAAATTAACTAGTACTTGCTTGATTTTTTCCGGCGGAATTCATAAATTATATCGGAGGCGTCTTCTTAATATGGATTACTTAACCTTCTAAGCGTGACGATGTAATCTCCGCGTCTTCCTCATTCAATCTGCACCTACAATCAGGCAGTTATTGTAGCATTCTTACTTCATTACATATTACACTGACATTCAAGTTTCCGTATATTGTGAATTTATGAGTACTAAAACAAGAATCTATGTAAGTAGTAGTACGGTACGGTACGCAACTACCTCCCTAAGTACCTAGTTACCCACTACATAATTTTTATCTCTGGTTTCACCGAACGTTACATTTTTACAAATTTGTTTCAATTGCTTTACGGTTTTTGAATACTAGCGCTCACATGTCTCTTACTATATCACGCACCCATGAAAGTCTAAATTAACACGTAGGAACGATGTTTTATGTGCTAAAACAATAACAGGTATTAATTGTTCGTCTGAGATATTGCGTTACATAAAGGATAAACCCAATAAAACATAACGGCTGTAGCGATCAAATCGCATACACAAAAAACAAATCATGGTTTACCCCAATCCGAGAAGTGGTCGTGATGATATACGCAACTGGACTATGAATACGGGCCATCGTATGATGTTTGCACTTGGCCCGTTCATTAGGTGCCTACTGAATTCACATTAATAAGGTGTATACCTACTTGTATTGCAGAAATTTAATTACCTATGTAACGTCAACCTAATTACAATTAAGGTAACTATCGTGATTATTACAATGTTTAATTATTGCTCATACGATGATTAATGCAACTACGTAAGGATTACAAACGATGGTTGATTGTGTTTCGATATAATTAATTATTATGTGTGTTTGTTTTAACCTGCTTCATTTTAGTTTGACAAATTCTATTGTGGGTATGTTTGGTTTAAATTCCTAAAATCAGGTTCTTTATAATATAAACCATGCACGCTGCAGCACCGCCTCAGAGGTTCGTAGATCTGATTAAATCACATGACATTAGATTTGTCCAATCAGTGCAAAAGGTGGCACGGATTTTGTCTATAGGTAGCAAAATGGAGAACTGTAATAGTTATCGCATAATACTTAAC